TGCATTGTATGTACTTTGCAGCCGTTGGGTAGAGTGTTTTATATATGTCTATGAGGTCAAGTTGGTTGATTGTGGCCTTTAGAGCTTCTGTTTCTTCGTTGAGTTTCTTTCTAGATGTTCTGTCCTTTATCGGTAATGGTGTGTTGAAGTCTCCTGGTAGTATCAATTTTTCTTTTCGGTACTTTTAGAATTTTGTTCTATGTAATTTGGACCCTTGTTATTGGTTGCATGATATTTATGATTTTATCTTTATGATGGATTGTCTCTTTAATCATTATCAAAATACAGACAAAATTATGGAAAAGAACGACAAAACAATGCAAGAATTCAGGAAAATAATACAGGAACATAATGTCAAAATAAATACACAACTAGAAATTGTACAAAACCAATAGTTAGAAATCCAAAAGGTAAACTGTAAGATTTCAGAAATGGACAATGTCATAAAAGGTTTGAGGAGCAAATTTGAAACACGAAGACAGGATCAGCGAAATTGAAGACAAATACTTGGATACCACTTTTTTTGAGGAAAAATCGCAGAAAATAATGAAGAAAAATGAAGAAACCCTGAGAAAGAAGTGGTATACAATCAAAAACAAAAATTTGCAAGTGATCAGAATTCTAAAACGGGGAGAAAACAGAAATCACAGAGAGGATAATTGAAGAACTACTGACAGAAAACTTCCCTAATATCATGAAAGACGAAAAGCTGACCATCCAGTAAGCTCAATAAACCCCAGATAGGATAGAGCCCAAAAGAAAATCACCAAAATATAGCATAATCACAGTAGAAACCCAAAGACAAGGAAAGAATCCTGAGAGCAGCTCAAGAAGAATGAAGTCATAAATGGGAATCAATAAGATGAAGCTGTGATTACTCAGCAGCAACCATGCAAGAAAGAAGGCAGTGGGATGACATAAACATTGAAAGAAAAAAATTGCTAACCTAGAATATATACTGCAAAACTTTCACTCAAATATGATGTAGAAATTGGGACGTTTCCAGATAAACAGAAATTAAGGGAATATGTAAAAACCAAGCCAGACTTACAAGAACTGTTAAAGGGAGTCCTTTGGTTAGAGAACCACAATGTCAGACAACAGTCTGAATCTAGAATGCAAGCCCACATCAGCCAGATACTAACATAGGTAATGAACCCTCAAAGATAAAACAAAACTAAAAGATTTACAATCGGGAACTAGAGAGGTGAATCTGTAAATGACAACAATGTCAGAACAATAAAGGAAGGAATAGTGTACGTATAGATCTTTCAAATGGAGAGGAAGTAAAGGAGATACCAAGTAATAAAAAACTAGTTCAAACTTTGGAAGATAGGGGTAAATTTATTTATTTGTTTTATTTTACTGTAGGTGAAAGTTAACAACTCAACTTAGTTTTTCATATCAACATTTATACACATATTGTTATGTGACTGTAGTTGCTGTCTCTATGATGTGACGGCCCACTCCTCCTTTCCACCCTGGATTTCCCGTGTGCACTCAACCAGCTTCTATAGCTTTTCTGCCTTCTCATCTCACCTTCCGAAAGGAGATGCCCATTTAGTCTTGTGTATCTACTTGAACCGAGAAGCAATCCAATTCCTGCCTACAGTCACTTGAAATAGTTTCAAGTGCAGTTTTCCAGTATACACAATTAGTTTCATTTACTTCAACCTACTTTTGTGTAAAATGTTTTCATCATTCCAAAGATCATCTCCTTAACAAAGGATATTTGTAGAAACCTAGTTTGCATCCCTGTTCCCTTCACTTCATTCTCTTCCTTCCCTATTAAAAAAAAAAAAAAAAAAAAAAAAGCTCGTTGCCATCTAGTCGATTCCGACTCATAGTGACTCTATATGACAGAGTAGAACTACCCCATAGGGTTTCCATGGAGCAGCTGGTTGATTTGAACTGCTGACCTTTTGGTCTTAACCACAGTGCCACCAGGGCTCCCTATAGTTTGTTATTTGCAGTTGACTCATGGCAACCCTCTGTGTGCAGGCTCCATAGGGTTTTCAAGGCAGTGACCTTTCAGAAGCAGATTGCCAGGCCTGCCTGCCTTCCCAGGTGCCTCTGGGTGGGTTCAAACAGCCAACCTTTTCAGCTAGTAGTGGAGTGCTTAACTGTTTGCCCCACCCAGGGACCTTTTCTATAGGTAGTCATTTAAAAAAGAATAAACATAAGTTATTCTTTTTATTTTTAAATATAAGATGTATAAGTACATATAGCATATTATGTATACTTTTCTTCACCTTGGTTTTCTGTACCTAACAATATATCCTCGTAACCACTCTATAGCAATATAGAGAGATCTTTCTCATTTCTTTTCAGCTGTGTAACACTCCATTGTGTGAATGTACAGTCATTTATTATAGAGAACTGTACTGTTTAGGAGTTCTGTTTACTTCCTGTTCTACTATTTTTCTGGGAATTGCTGTTTCTGAGTGGGTGTAGAAGGAAGGTAGGAAGAGGAAGCAGTGCCCTAGCTGTTCTAGAAGTGGCACCTGGTCGTGACAAGTCCAGTTTTCTCCTTGGTTCTTATCCTGGTGGAGGGATAAAGTATCTTTCTTTTTGTAATCAGATGTGCGGGGCTTCTTTTTTCATGAGTCAAGCCCTCCATGGTTTCTGTCATTTACATTCCTTTTGGCTCACAGTTAGAAATTCTTCCAGGTTTTTAGAACACATTTTTCATGCATAGTTTTTTGATGCTGGCATCTATTTTGTGTATCTTCATGGTTATGAGGGTTTAGGAGTATTAGCAGAGAATGTTCTTCACGTGTCATTAAAAAAAAATTCACATATTAATAAGTAAAGAAAACCTTTTTTTTTAAACAATCTTTTTTCTCCTCCTAACAAATAGTGAATTATTTCTGTTGCAGGGAAAAGGAGTTGGAAGCCAAGTTCATTATTCAAATGGAGAAAAGCAAAACAACAATCACAAACTTAAAGGCAAGTAATGAGCGGGCCTTGCTTCAGTTTCATCACGTCCCTTGTTTGCTTTACTGTTGGAGTGACTTAATGGGTAAATAAATCATGTGTACCATTTATGCATTCCTTTCTCATTTCAATTAGCCAAGTCAACTTGCTGTTGGCTTGGGCCTAGTCATGAAGGGTTGATCTCCTGATTCTTCTCCCATACCTAGTTTCATTTGATCTGGAAGCCAGACCCAAACTCTGCCTCTGGTATGTGAGCTTGTGAGTTTAACCCTGACCCAGACATCTTTATTTTCCAGCCAAGTAGTGGATCCTTAGCCTAGCAATTGACTTTATTCTATGAATTATTAAAAAAGCTTTGGCCCCATATTTTTTTCCATTTTTAATTAAAGTCACTATGTTTTGTAAATTTTGCAATAGGACTTGGTATTATTATTCGAAAATTAGGGAATGAAAGAAAAAACAAGCAAACACTAAATTTTCTAATACGGCAAGTTCTTCCTTCTGCAGTTAAAGTATCCTATTTGCTTATTTGGTCAGCGCATTTGTTAAAGACCTTGAATACTTTTCAGTTAGGGGGAAGTAAGGAGTAGAATGAATAATAAAGAAATCACAGAGGAGCTCAGGACCATCCTCCTTTGATATTTTCATTACCTTGTATGTTTGGGTTTCTGAGGCCTGCTGCTTCTTGGCCAAGTTCTGATCAAGCTCCTGTCTGCTTCCGAGGAGTAGATTTCTATTAATTCATTGCTCGAGGGAGTGGACACTTTGAATTTCAATTTCAGTGTAGTGCAGTGTGATCCCCAGTGATAGGAGCTGGGGAATGCTCCAGTCTTCCAGTTGGGCAGTGCTCTGGGTCATTTGACAGGCCTCTTTTGAGGCTCCCTTGTCCCTTTACCTGAGGCATTCTCTACTCCCCACAGTCCTTTGTACCATTCCAGCTGTATCTGGCCCACACTGAGCTTGCCTTCCTTGGACCTCCCGTTTCTGTCTTCTCAGGATTCTACCAGTCATTACTTGTCCATTTGCTGCTGTTCTCTTATCCTTGCTTCATGCATCTTTGTTTACTCTCAGTGCTTTAGTAAAAGTTTAATTATTAAAACGTATTTACTGAAACAGAGTGAGGAGACCCCTGGCCTTGGATGAGTCTCCTTTCTTTGTGCATTTTGTAATCTATTTCCCTTGATTACTCTATTGCTTTTTGAGTTTTACAAATATTACCTTGTCTGCCATTTGAGTAACCAGAACAGATGCCTAGACTTTTAACATTTTAATAAGAACTTTGACAGATGTTCTTTATAGTATGTGAATCATGTTGGAAAATATGGTGCCCATTGAATTTATTCAGCATGTGTCCAAGGAACTGTGTGAGGATTTGGGGGCTTATGAAGATTTTTGAACACGGTTTTTGGTTTAAGTATATGGCAAGGTGGGCTATATATATGCAAACATGCAATAAACTCTCAGTGTGATGTGTCCCAGTAGAGTCGAGGCCCTCACACGTGAGAGAAATGGCTTCTGGCTGGTGTACACAAGGGAAGCTTCATGGAAGAGGTGTCATCTGACCTGGTGTTTGGAATGGGGTCAATGAAGTGTACCACTTCAGGGGGCGCCAGTCACACCACGATCTGTGTGAATAACACCCCCTGGAGTTGTGCAGAGCCCAGTTGTGGTGATTCAGGTCGAGGGAAGAATAAAAAGCATTGAAGCTGGAAAAAATAGAATGTGGTTGGAGTTTTGGGTCTATCTAAGACAATTATGACAAAAAGGCCAGAAAAATAGCCTTGGCTCATATCACAGAGCCTGGATTGCTGGGAGAAGGCGTTTAGGTTCTATTTATTTAAGTTTTGTTTCTTTTTTTTAGGAAGGTTATGGGGCGGGATGAAATGATTTTTAGTTGGGGTATAAATATGAAAAGTGGTTATTGTCATATATTTTTTAGGAAGAACCATTTTTTTCCCCTGAATTGGCTCACTTGTAAAATGACAGTCTTCTTTACATTATTATTATTATTCTCTTTATATTGTTATTACCGTTAAAATCATCTCTCTCTAGATTCCAGAAGGAGGAACTGGGGACACTGGAAGAGAACGGACGAAGACCTTCACCTATGACTTTTCTTTTTATTCTGCTGATACAAAAAGTCCAGATTATATTACACAAGAAATGGTATGATATTGTTAAAATCTTTACTTTGATTTATTTTCATATAGAGAAGAACATGCCTACCCTTAAGCTCTTTGAATCATCTTGCTAATTTTTTTCTAAAGTTAATTCTTGTTACTTAACTTATTGGTTATTGCACTGGACCGTGTATCTTAGACGTTTGAAGAACTCAGACCCCAAAAGGTTGATTTTTTTTTTTTTACTTCTGAGCATGATGAACATAACTTGGATTTGGTTCAAAACATGGAGATGGCTACTATTTTGAAGGAGCTGTGCAAATAAAGCATTTTGGGAGGAGGGGCATTTATATGCCATTACACCCAGCAAATAAGCCACTTAACTGTGAGTCCTGCTGTGACGCAGAGCTTTAGGAGGTAATGTAAAACCCAAGTCACGTTTCCCCTGATTTGGTGGACTCTCAGAAATGTCTAGAATCTTTCTTTGAGAACCTAGAATTATGCTGGAATTTGTCCAAGAAACCTGCTCTGTAGGCTTTTAAGGTCTAAAATTGTAGATGTGTCATGGCAGATAAGAACAGACACAAAGATCTTCCCAGAAGGCCATGAAATGCTGATGTTGATGTTTCATGTGAGCAGAAGGATAAGTATATTTCTCTGGTGAGAAAAGCTGGGTGGGGTTATGGGGAAACTCTAGTGTTGGGGGAGGAACATGGGCTTCATGGCCAGGCCTCTCTTTCTGGCTTGTTAATGCTTTTGTGTGGCTTTGGAAATGTGTAGCTTCAGATCTTCATGTATTAAAATGGGGATAAGAATTCCTGTCCTACCTCCTCTGGGTTGGAATCCATGTAGCCGCATCTTGAAAATTAGAACATGAAGGGACATTGTTGTCTAGTTCCTTTTTTACTGATGTGTATCCATGCACCATCATCATCAGCATTGCCTAGGAGCTGATTAGAAGTACAGACTCTCAGAACCTATTCTAGACCTGCATTATCAGAATCTGCTTTTTAATAAGATCCCCAGGTAACTTGCAAACACCTTAATATATGAGAAGCCCAGATATAGTTGGCTTAGAAATGGTTTGTGGAGGAGGATGGCTTTCTGAGGCAGTGAAAATGTTGGGTATTAAGCTAGGCTGTGAACTTAGACGAGGTGTTCAAAGGAAAGGATGGGAGTGACCATATGCAGGAACTGTTGAGTCAAACATCAGGGACAGATAGAAAGGAATACCAGCAATGGGGATGGAAGCGATGAAGAGATGAGGTTCCTGGAGGTGGTATTAAAGAGGGCCAGGGAGAGGAAAGATGAACCAATGTTGCTTGTGTTGCCATTGGTGTCAGGAACTCTGGTTGGTGCTCATGTATGCCATCCCATTTAATCTTCACAAAAGCCAAGTGAGATAAATTTCAGCTCTGTTTTCCTTTGTTGAAGAGGCTCAAGTTCATACACCTAATAAGTAGCTGATCTTGGAGCTGATGTATATACAGTGGTGGGATGCCACTGGAAAGTCTTAAGGTATAAGAGAAAAAGTGTGGCCTGTCCTGAATGGCAGATGGAGAGGGAGCCCTGTTGAATGAATGAATCAGTGAATGAGTAAATGAAGATGGCTTTGGGGTCGAGGTGAGTGGATTAGTCAGCATTGGTAGTTAGCAGTCTGGTGAGGAATAGAATGTTACAGATATTGGAATCCATATTTTGGCTTTAATAGGAATAAAGATGAAGTTGTGGGTGCCAGGGAGTTTGTTCAGGGAAAAGCCAGTTCACTGTGCGCAGTCTTCAGAGTCTTCAGTGGAGGATGAATGAAGAATTGGGAAGGTCTCCACTTCTAATTTACCTAATGAGCAGCTGAATTTTCCCCCTGAGGACTTCTGGGACAGAGGGCTGTGCTGAGGGAAAGCCTGGGGATGGAGATGTAGAGCATTGTAAAATGACAGGGCCTGGCATGCTGGAGATCTTCCATAAAGGTTTGCTGACTGGATGAACCCATTTTCAGGTGAAGGTCCCTTTATGGGAAGAGATGGCATTTTCTGAGTTCTAGAAGAGTCAAGATCAGGGAAGCAGAAACAAAATTAGCTCTTCTGGGAGTTAAAAATAAATGCCCAGAATTAAAAAATATTTTTAGATTGTGAAAAGCTTTCAACTGATGAAGATAACTGTAATGCTTTAGGTGTACGTGCAGCATCTGTTCTCAGATGCTTTGGGGTCTTTGACTCTGTATAAATAACCTAAGATTGTTTCATGAAACCACAAAACTAGAAAAGCCCTGAGATATGTTAGTAAACACTGCTTTCTAGTAGAACCATGTGTTAATAACACACACATAAATGCACAAAAATATCTATTTTTAAGCACTCTATTTTAGACATTAAAGAGAAAATAATCTTCCCTCACTCCTAATTTTAAACCTCTTGATAAAAAGAGCTTTAGTTTTGAATTTTGACTACGTTTTCATGATGCCACGTATAAGTACAGGAAGTGAGCTGACCGTTTGTATCCCGGAGGCTAGAAACTTGGGAAGATGCGGAGCTTTTAGCATGATCCTGTGTTTTTTGTTGTTGTTAATCGTTTAATGTATAGGAATCTTGGGAAAACATATCATGCCTATCACTGTAGTTCAAGTCAAGTTTCCCTTAACATTCAACAAATACCAGGTTGATGATCACTCATTATTTCTTCCTTCCAAGTTAATTTTAGAATTAGAGAAAAAGTTAATAAGCAATTAAAATCCACACTCATGTAAATTAAAGACCATTAAATAAGGTATAATTTTCTTTTATTTTATTTTTTAGACATTTTATTGTGCTTCAGGTGAATGTTTACACAGCAGATGAGTTTTCCATTCAATAATTCATACACAGATTGTTTCGTGACATTGGTTGCAGTCCCCTCAAAGTGTTAGCACTCTGCCTGTTTCTACCTTGGGTAACCCGTTTCCATTCTTCAGGTTTTCCTGCCCCTCCCTACCTTCTTATCTTTGCTTTTGGGAAAATGCTTCCCTTTTGGTCTCTTATAGTTTTGTTTTAAGGAACACGTTCTTCACAGGTGTTATTGTTTATTTTATGGGCCAGTCTATTATTTGGCTGAAAGGTGACCTCCAGGAGGTCTAATTTTCTTAATGATTCTTTAAACCTTCGTAGGGAGGCTTTGATCTCGAACAACCAGTTCCTTAACTCAATCCTGGAGAAATTGGAAACCTTAAATCTCCCAGTTGACAAGCTAGATGGGACAGTCTTTGTTTTAACAGGGCCCTCTTGTGGACAACTCTTCTGAAGAGAGGCCCTGGTTATGCTTTGGATTACTCTGGAAACTAACTTTGAAGTCTGTGCTCAGACAAGCAGCCAGGTGGGTTTTGGATAACCAGGCCAGGTGAGAGATCTCAGTAGAGTATGATGCAAGAATATTGTCCAACTGTAGATTGTGCTTAAATGAGTCATTTGTGGGGGCTGTGGATGAACCAGCCTGTCTTCCTTGCCAAGAACCCTGGAGATGTGGGCAGTGTCCTGCCATTTCTCTGGGTGTTGGCACCCACCTACTTTGGGTGTGTTATTTGAACCTACGACTGGGCCAGGCCTGGATATCTGCTCCTCCAGACTTGCATTTCTAGACATGTGTTACAGTCCTGTACACCACTGCTAGCCCCCCTGAACCTCTGAGTCTGTCAGAAAAGTCCGACTGGGTTAGCTTTCTGGGAGATAAAGTAATAATAAAATGATGGATGTGATTTTTAACCCTAGGGAAGAATTTTGTTTAGAAAGCCTTTGGGTTTGGTTTAAATATGGTATTTTCTACAGCTTTGCTTTAGTCTTAGTCAAAACTATGCGAGAAGATCCTTCCTTTATTCTTTGAAAGGTTTATGGAAAGTTTTTCTTTCTATCCACTGGCACTCCATGAAATAATAAAAATGATATTTGCTTTTTTGTTTGTTTAATTGGAAGGACTTGGGGAAATAGAAGTTCTCTTCGTATTCCATAAATAATGGTAAAAATGCACCTCAAACTAGGGGCCTGGATTTCTAGCTTTTTCGTAGCATAAGTCTGGGGAATTGCCTTCCAGGTAGTGTTGAATTCTGGGTGCTCCTTTAGAAGGTGTGGGAAGAGGGTCTAGAAGGCATAGGCTTTGGAATAAGAAAGGTCTGGGTTCAGATTCCAGTTATGATACTCACCGGTGTTCCCATTTACCTAACTTCTCCCCTTCAACTTCCTCATCTAAAAAATGGGTCTTGAAACACAACTTGCCTTACAGCATTCTAATGAGGATTAATACATGAACCTACCACTTGTCTGTCAGTTGGTTGTGCTGTGGTGGCTTGTGATGATGGAAGCTATGCCACCACTATTTAAATACCAACAAGGTCAACCTTGGTGGACAAGTTTCACCGGAGCTTCCAGAGTAAGACAGACTAAGAAGAAAGGCCTGGTGATCTACTTTTGAAAATTAGCCAATGGAAGCCTTATGGATTAAACAGAATATTGTCCAACTTGCTTGCTTTGGACATGTCATCAAAAGGGATCAGTCAGGAGAAGGACATCATGTTTGGTGAAGTAGAGGGCCAGCAAGGGCTAGGGAGACCCTCAATGAGATGGACTGGCCTAATAGCGACCACTATGGACTTGAACATGCCATTGAGTGTGAGGATGATGCAGGATGGGGTAACATTTCGTTCTGTTGTACATAATGTTGCCACGAGTTGGAGTAGACTCCATAGTTTCTATTTGTCTGTCTGTCTATCATATGAGCACATGAAAAGATTTAGAGAATGCCCAGTGAGGATGAGCTGCTACATAGTTGAGAATTAAGTCATCAGAACATGAGGATAAGATCAGAAAATACCAGCTCCTAAAGTTAAAATAAAAACAAACAAACAAACAAAAAAACAGAAAACAAAATCAACTCAGAATGAATGAGACTGGCTGTTTGTGGAAGTGACTCAATGGAAATTAAAATATGTCTGTTTTTGACTGACGAGACTGAGGAAACAAAGTCCAAACAAGATGGCGGGAAGATGGTGCCTGTGGAAAGCCGCAGTCCCCTCAGTCGGTGGTATGTTTCTCTCATCCTGGGATGACAGGCTGTGCTGTTAGCAGGGATGGTTTATGTGGAGCTGAGATCACGAAGGCCAGTTTTCCTCAGCCCTGTTAGTGTAGACGTTCTGCTCAGCCTGGCAGGCCTCAATCTGTGCTGTGGGGTGGCTCCGTACATTACTCTGACGTCAGCCTCAGTGTGCATGTCCTAATGGGAATCTGGCTTCCCATGTGGAATCACCTCCATGTCCTGGGCTGATTGGTAGGCGTCAGTGCCCTGGGCCACTTTGAGATCACCTGGGGAGTTTAAAAAAATCCTAGTTCCTGGATTCACACCCCTGAAATTCTTATTTAATTGGTCTGGGTTTTGGGGACGGGGGTGGGGTATGGTGTAGTGAGGGGCATTGGGACTTCACAGGCTTCCTAGGTGATTCTCACATGCAGCAGCTTGTGATCTGTGCTCTAGGCTGCTTGACAGTAATTGGAGTTGGTTTTTTATGTGAACATTTTTGGGGATTGGAAAGTTTTAGTTAGTCCCCTTCCCAGTTGGGTATAACCAGGATAAACACACATCTTGACTTACCTCCTGTACATCAGTTGCCTGGGTAAAGTATGAACACTTCACTCCATTTCATTCCCCGAAGTGTCCTCCTAGAACTACTTGGTGCAGCTGACCTGGACTCAGGCCATTGTAGGCGTAATCCCAGGCCCCACACAATTGTCTCCCTTGCTTCCTTCCCTCTGGGCAAATATCCAGGTAGGTAGAGTTATCTGGACTCTGAGATGGGGGAGCCCAGCCATCTCAGCCTCTTCCACACCCACCCATCACTCAGCTCCCTGAGAACCTCCAGAGAAGTGAGATTTATTTTGATGAACAGTGAAACCCTTAAAATGGTGGCATTGGTTTGGCATGGTTCGGGCAATACTTTCTGGCCTCTGTGACCTTCAGGCTTTGAATGCTAAGTTCTGGAAGCATGGATAGAATGAATAGGTTTATAAATTTATATAATTCTGAATTGATAAATTATCATGCTTTAAAATCATCTTTGCTTCTAGACACAATTGCCAGTTGGCCTTGTTTGCATTTTTATATTTCAGGATTTTTTTGTTGACTTAAATAAGAAAGAGGATGGGGTTGGTCTTTGCTTGCTTGCAAAGTTTACTTTTGATTAAAAAACTGAGGTACATAGTCTGTTATTTGGTTCTGCAGCGATTTATTTATAATGGTGTAATCCTTAAGAGATGAAAGTAGCGTTCAAGAGTTTTGTTAACACTGAAGGAACTTGTTAAAAAATCCATGGTAATTGTATCTTTTGTGATTTTTTTTTGGCTTTCAGGTTTTCAAAACCCTGGGCACGGATGTCGTGAAATCTGCATTTGAAGGTTATAATGCTTGTGTCTTTGCATATGGGCAAACTGGATCAGGAAAGTCATACACTATGATGGGAAATTCCGTACGTTTACACTGTGTGGGGAGAACATTTCTCATTATCTCTCTTTGGACTGACAGAATTATCTCTTATCTACTTGGTCTGTACTAACTTAGTTTTTGTGTTCTGATCATTCTTTAGGAATAAGAAAAATCTCAATAATAAGTTGGACTAAATTTCCTCTGAGAGATTTTAAATTAGAAATAGTTTTAAGTTTATAAGCTTGAATAATGGATGCAAGTCCCAGTTCATTTTCTGTTTTTAAAGGCCTTATAATCTTATCAAAGAAAAGTATGCTGGGCCCGCAAGTAATTTATTCTTCTTTTCTGCTAACACAAAGTTTGTATAGAATTACTGAACTCTGTTCTTTTTAAAATTATTCAGAACATTTTTCCCCCAAGAAAAATATTTAAAAAATCTACATCTTTGGTGGAAAGGTACTGCATAATTCGAGCAAATACATAAAAAGAATCAGAGTTATATATGTAGTTTTCATAGTTACATACATAGTTTATAGAGGTTAGTAGTTACACTGTATAAATGAACACACATTAGCGTTCTTCTACTTGTCCCAAAATATGGAGGAGTAAAAACTAGACATTATTGGAGGAACTTTATCTCTTTCTGTGTTTTCTCCAGATTTAGATAGTGTTTGTGTGTTTTAATATTCTTGTGTCATAGTGAAAGCTCTGTTCGATGACTTGCAAGACTTGGGCATGTTCTAGATGTGGAGATACTGCCAGAGGATTGTAGGGCTCCTATCAGCAGGCACCATAGTGTCTATGCTAAAGGTTGGGTGGTCAGTGGAAGTAGTGTTTTAAAGGAAGGTAGGTCTTTCTAGATGAAATATTTCAGTGTATATAACCTGACTTCTTAAATCCAGGCTTTTCCTTTACATAAGAAGTAGATAAATGTGCTATGAATCCTCAAGGCAGAAACACAGAGAACTAATAAGTGAAGAGCAGATAATTTCAAGAGTTTTACATTTCCTTTTATCTTGCTTCTCTCTTCCTACTTTCTACTGTGTCTTTAAAAATAAAGCTATCTCTAAAAATCAGATTTACATGTTGGTTCCCTAGTAGCTATTTTATGTAAGTTAAACATTTATAGAGCACTCATAAATTGCACCTGTTTTCCTCTGACCTTATAGTTGAATACGGTGCTTTGGGTATTCTTTTTTATTCTTTTTAAAGAAAAAAAAATATGGTGAAAGGCCCATCTATTCTTTTTTTTTTTTTTAAGTATTTTATTGTGTTTTAGGTGAAAGTTTACAGAGCAAATTAGTTTCCTATTCAACAAATTCTACACAAAGTGTTCCATGACATTGATTGCAAAGGTGCACTTATTCTTGATAAGAACTGGTATTGATTTAATAGTACGAAGAACAAAATTTCTCTTAAAGCACTGATGATATTCCTTTTATTTTGGGGGCAATTGGGTGAATGGAGGGAGGGACTTCAGAAGAAAACATTAGAGATCCAGGTTCTGAAGCTCTGGGGTTCTGGTTTACCTGACCTTTGGTGTTGTTCTGGGGTTCATCAACTTGATAATACTGACTAAAACATGAATATTATTGACTGTTATGCCTGCATTGTATAAGTAATACAATGTATTAAAATCCTCCTGTCTAGGAATGCCAGTCTAGGGATTAGTACATTAAACGTAGGATATACTGCAGTAAAAACTGCGAAAGCCGGAACCTGTGTAAGGTGGAAACCTGTCAGAGAAGGAAAACTCGAGTATTTTCCACTAAAACCAATGATAGGAAAGTGATAAGACTGTACCCAGTCAAAGATGGAAAACTTGTGAGACCCAGAAAAACAAGGCAGACCCGTTGAGTACTGGCTGTCACAGGTTTCACTGTACATGTTTTAATGTGGTCTTGTCACCTAAGTTTTAAGACAATTATTAACTACTTTGAGGACTTAACTAGGGTTTTGTTGATGTTTCCCTTCTGCTCAGTGTATATCTCACCTTCTTTGGTCATTTGACCAGGTCAGATTTTTAACATTTATTCTACAGCTGTAGACTGTCTTGTTTGAAAGCTAGAGAATAAGTTGTCTTAGGCTTGCACGCCATGATTTAACTGGTTAACAGCTGATGACCTTATATTACCAAAGCCCCAGCACGTAGAAACCTAAGGCTGAACGCTCTCATTTCAGAGAACAGGAGGCAGTCCGGGAGGGGTAAAGAGCGTGTCTGGGGTCCCAGGTGGTAGGACTGGGGTTGGCGTGCAGGCTGCTCAACTCCCAGTCCACTCTAGCAAAGTGCACATTCAGCCGTAGGTTGCTTTTATTTCAAGTGACAGCTGCGGCCTTCCTGCTTCCCATTGTAGGGTGATTCTGGCTTAATACCTCGGATCTGTGAAGGGCTCTTCAGTCAGATAAATGAAACCACCAGATGGGATGAAGCATCTTTTCGAACTGAAGTCAGGTAGGACCCGTGGCCTGAGTGACTGAGTGTGCACTTGGTTGGAGCCAAGACTGTTTGGCTTGATTTTAGGCAGTAGGAACGAATAAGGCCATTAACTTTATAACGAAAAATTCTGCCTTTTCCACTTCCTATATTTATGGTAGTTGGAAATAAAGCTTAAAAACACTTTAAGTTTTCAATAACTTTCTTGGGGACAGTTTTGACCAGGATTTGGGAGGCTGATAGAAAACCCAGCTTGGTCAGAAACTCTAGTGTAGGATGTTTATCTTAAATGTAGTGAGCCTTTAAGTGTGTACCTACTACAATTCTTTTATTCTTTCAGCTGAACTAAGTTTGTGTCATTATGTTGGTGGGATTACTATAAATCTAATCAATAACTTGGATGGTTACAGTGCTTTTTCCTCCTTGAAATTAAATCTGTATGGGGAGTCAGTGTCTTTGGTGGTTACCAGGGCAGACATGGTTGTCTAGGGTTTATTGTCTGCTTTACCTCTCAGGGCTATGTGGCCTTGGATGTGTTGTTTAAATCACCCTGAACCTCTGTTGTCCAACCTATAAAGTGGGGATAATAATAGTACCTACCTCTGGTTTAGCGTAAGGATTAAATGAAATCATTAGCACAGTATAGGCATATAGTTCTACCTATAAAGTAGGTTTTTTCTGTTTTTAATGTTGTTATTGTTGTAATTATTAATGCCTGAAATAATTTTTCTAAATTCAATTCTATTTACAATTTTAGCTACTTAGAAATTTATAATGAACGTGTGCGAGATCTACTTAGGCGGAAGTCATCCAAAACCTTCAATTTAAGAGTCCGTGAGCATCCAAAAGAAGGACCTTACGTTGAGGGTAAGCATGACTATTTCATAGCGCTATACTTCTTGGAAATTTGTGTAAAAATAAGACTTTTAAGAGACAAAAAGAAGTAGCATAATGGGGAGATTGGACAATTTATTTTTGGCATTTTATTTTAGTAACAAAATGGTATGAGCTGTCACTACACAATATTAATTTAAGGGGTTCATTCTTCACTGGGCTTTCACTGATTTCGTTGAGCTTGCCAGTATATTTCCTCTGACTTCAAGAACTCTGGAAATTTGTTTCCAGTGTTGTTAGGCAAGATTCATAAACCTATATCCTGTCTTTTAAATGGAATTGCATTTTAGTGATGTGTTTTTACTGACCCTAATGATATATGGGGCCCTGGTGGCACAGTGGTTGAGCGTTTGGCTGCTAACCGAAAGGTTGGCAGTTTCAGTCCACCAGCTGCTCCTTGGAAACCCTTGGGGCAGTTCTACTCTGCCCTGTAGGGTCACTATGAGTTGGAATCAACTTGATGGCAATGGTTTTTTTTTTTTTTTTTGAATGATGTTATGTGATAATAAAGATATTCTAAGACCTCTTACCTGTGAAGAAGCGTGTTTGCAGAGTTGTCTGTACTGTTTCCTCAGCGTTTGTGTTGTGATACACCACTCGTGTCACGGTCAGCTGTGAGGAATGACACAAGTAATAACGGTTAAAGGGCTGGCCCTTGCTGATTATTTTCTTCAAAAAATAGGCTGGATTAAAGGCCATCCCTGCAATGCAGCTCATCTCCCTCACCCTGCATTCTAGAGCCCTGTCTGGAGTGCGAGGGGCGGGGGCTGAGTGATGGCTGCTGTAGGAATCACACACACGGACGTACTTTCACGTGGGCATCGTCCTTCAGGTGTGTCTCCTTGGAGGCAAGACTGAGAATTGGTCAGGAGTTTAAAGATGTTCCTGTTCTCTGTTGTCTTTTTTTCCTGGAGATACCAGGTGCATCAGCAGGACCCTGTCTCTGATTTATTAAACTCCCAACTGAACTTTCCCCTCCTGTGCCCACAGCAAGGTGTGTGACTCTGTAGCTACTTTGTGGAGTGTGGAATACCTGTTATTATTAATAGTTTCACCTTAACATATGCCTTTATGTTTTCCTTTTCATTGCCTTATCAGATGTTAAAACACATTCTAAAGCTGGTGTTTATGAACAAACAGAATAATCAAACAGGGTAAAAATCCAGAATCTGACCCAGATACTTATGGGGATTTAGTTTCTGATAAATGTGCTATTAGAACAGTAAGGGAAGTATGGATTTTCAGCCTGCCCAGGAGAAAATAAAGTTACTTGGTATTATATCTCAGTTTTTACACTAGGATAAGTAACAAATGGATCAAAGATTTAAACGTTAGAAAAAGAAATAATCAAATGACTAAAAGAAACTATGAATTAATTTTTTTCCAGAAACTTGGAGAAAGGCAGGGTTTTTAAATTTTGGCTTAAAACTCAGAAACCATAAAATAAAAGATATTAAATTTGAAATCATTAAATATAAAACTTTGTGCTTGGCAGAAACATCATAAACAAAGTAAAAAACCAGATGACAAAATGGGGAAAATATTTCCAGACGAAGAACTAATTTCCCTACTATACAAAGAGCCCCTATAAGTCAGTAAGGACAGGTCTGACAGTCTGACAGTCCAGTAGAGAAATGGACAGTACTGGAAATACAGAAGAATTTTAAATGGAGGAAAGAATGCTCAGCTTCACTCATAGTAAGAGAAAAGCAAAATAAAAATATTTTGAGATAACATTTGTCACCTTTCCCTGGCAGATGTAAGTAGACCTGATAAGACAGCACATGGAGGGTGTCGGGTAACAGGCAGTCTTGTACGTTGCTGCCACTGGGTATAAATTATTCTTTATGGAGGATAATTTTACTATAAAAAACCCCAAACCTGTTACCATCGAGTTGATTCCAACTCATAGCGACCTTATAGGACAGAGTAGAACTGCGCCATAGGGTTTCCAAGGAGCAGCTGGTGGATTCTAACGGCTGACCTTTTGGTTAGCAGCCATAGCTCTCAACCACTGTGCTACTACGGCTCCGATTTTTTTTTATTTTTTATTTTATTACATCTATCAATATTATAAATGTCTTTTGATTCAGCAGTTCCACCTCTAATAATTTATTCTGCAGATATATTCACACACATTTGAAATGACTGTGTTCCAGATTATTTGTAGCAGCATTATTTGTAATTGGAAAAAAATACAAACAACCCTATAGTCTCAATAGGAGACTAGTTAAACTGGTTATGGCACATGCATGTAATCGAATACTCTGCAGCCTTAAAAATGAATGAGGAATCACTTTAAGAACTGATACAGAATGTTCTCCAATCTATATTTTACATGAAAAAAGCAGGGTGCAAAACAGTGTTTATAATATGCTAGCTACCATTTGTATCAAAGGGGAAGATGGATATATGGATATGTATGTGTATGTGTGTATATCTATACCTACAGATACAGATACACACACACACCAAACCCATTGCCATTGAGTTGATTCCAACTCATAGCGACCCCGTAGGACGGAGTAGAACTACCTCATAGGGTTTCCGAGGCTGTAAATCTTTATGGAAGCAGACTTCTGTCTACATTGTTCTCCTGTGGAGTGGCTGTTGAGTTCAAAGCCAAGCGCCTTAACCCCTGCGCCACCAGGGCTTATATACACGTGTGTGTGTATATATATAAATATATATATATGTATATACAGTATAATTTTCTGTTATGTATGGGTTATTTCTGGAAGGGTCCAGAGAAACTGATAACATTCACTGCCTACAGAAGGGGAATTGTGTGGTAGATTGGTGAATAGGAGTGGGAGGGAGACCTTTCACACAGTATACCTTGTGCAGCCTTCCACTTTGGAACCACATGAACATTGAAAAAAAAATTTTTTTAAAGGATTTAAAAAATGCTTTTGGGTTTTGCATGGGACCATTAAGGTTTTGAAGAGGTAGTGCTTTTACATTTCCCTTTCTAAGTACTGCGACCAATGCTAATGAGGTTGATGATAATTGCTAGCGTTTACCCTAACTACCCTATGTTGTAGGCACACATATCAGATGAGGTAACTGAGTCACAGGAAGCTAAGTAACTTGTCTATAGCAATGTAAGCCCACAGCTAGTAAGTAGCAGAGCTGGGATCTGAACCCAGGCAGCGCAGCTCCTAAGTCTGCATCATAAACCAGCGTGCTGTAGAAACAAGTGAGATCATTAAACAAGTCAGCATAAATGGAATTTCTTGTTCCATTTACTATATATTAGAGATACTTCTTCACCTCCTCCTCCTTTTTTTTTTTTTTTTGCCAGATTTATCCAAACATTTAGTCCAGAATTACGGTGATGTAGAAGAACTTATGGATGCAGGAAATATCAATCGGACGACGGCAGCGACTGGGATGAACGATGTCAGCAGCCGGTCTCATGCCATCTTCACCATCAAGTTCACTCAGGTCAGGGCAGCGAAGGGATTCCTGAGGTCTCTGCCTGCAGATTAGCTCTGGCTGAGGACTGATCGTTGTTGAACCAGGAGCAGCAGCAGGCAGAGGGGACTGACTATCTTTTTTTGTTAATTAGAGTTGAACATGTGCTGTGAGCTGAGTTTCTCTGTCATTGCAATCACAGTAATTTGAAATGTCCTGGTCTGCACCCTTAAGAAATATTTAGCAGGCTTCTGCCCTGTTCTAGACTTTTAAAAAATGTGCTCTGTGCTTAATTAAGCAAAAGTTTTCATTGTTGCAAACTCTGTAGGAGATAATGGATTGAGAGTCAGGCCAGCTGGAGGCCAAGGTAACTCAGTGTGGTACATTATCACTCCATGGAGTTCACCCCACAATGTTGATTATGATTATTAGAATGACACTAAGGGAAAATGAACGTTTATAATTGCTAATCTAAGAATTCATTATAATCAGGAGGTGGAGAGCATCTTGAATATGTGTGGAAATTATTGAGGATAAGTATTACTTTAGTACCTAGGCCAGTAGATCAGGTAAAGGTAAATGCAGAAATTTAGGGTCCACTGAGAGCTTCAGCCTATGCTGGGGCTTTGGGATGTCCTAACCTGTGTCAGTGATTGAACTCATCAGATTGAACACGTCACCTCCCGGCAAAAAACAACATTTTATTAGTTAGGGAAATTAGAGAGCAAAGAAAATGGAAGATTATGCATCAATCAGAACAACGCCTGTTAAACTCTCCATGTCTCTACCTTTTGTTTTACCCTTGCTTTACTGTAGTTTCACTGGTTTTTCTTCTGCTTTCTGGTTAGAAATGCCTGTTTCTCAGAAGTTTACATTTCTGTCAGAATTTTGTAATTCTGTTTAACATTTTGGAGCAGACTGCAAAACATAGGCTGATAGCCTTTGGGAAAGTAAAACTGATATAATTGAGAAGCAAGGAATATGGTATTTAAGATTTTCAGATATTTTTTATAATTTGTGAGACAGTATTTTATCACTGAATAATGGTCAAATGATCTTTTATGTAGTTGTCTGTATTTATCATCTTTTGGGTAGCTGTTGTGCTTGGAAATGCTGCAGATGCCATATGGGGCCAATGCTAGTTACTTGCTTACTTCCTCTTCTCTGTGTTGAGTGCCCCTTGGTGCTGAATTCCAGGTCCATATTCAGCCACAGCCAGATTCAGCCAACTTTTGTTGAGAATGACCGAGTGATTTGAGTGAAGGATTGGTTCTTCAGAATCACATGTGGTAGACTGCTGTTGCATTGAATTTAATCTTGGAAGTTTTGTAATCAGTTTGAAGGACAATAAAACAACAAAACTAAAACAAACAAAAACGTACCCTGGGAGATCACAGCGGGGAGTGGAAAATAATTAGAATTTGTGTCATAAACAACATCAGGGCCCTCTTCAATTTTGCTTTTATATTTTACCACAGGCAAAATTTGACTCTGAAATGCCATGTGAAACCGTGAGTAAGATCCACTTAGTCGATCTTGCCGGAAGTGAACGTGCAGATGCCACTGGTGCCACCGGGGTTAGACTAAAGGAAGGGGGGAATATCAACAAATCCCTCGTGACCCTAGGAAATGTCATTTCTGCCTTAGGTAGGTTTAAACTTGTCTCTTGCCTCTGTTTATTCCTTGTGGTACTGTGTTAGCACGGAGCAGTTAAGTTTAATGTTTGTGTTACAAACCAAGGTAATATCCTCTGCATTTTAGAACCAGTGTTAAAGAAAAAAACTTTAACAATTGTCTTCTTTCCTTCTTTTTTTCTCTTCCCTCCTATAGCTGACTTATCTCAGGATGCAGCAAACCCTCTTGCAAAGAAGAAGCAAGTCTTCGTTCCTTACAGGGATTCTGTTTTAACTTGGTTGTTAAAAGATAGCCTTGGAGGAAACTCCAAAACTATCATGATTGCCAGTAAGAATTTTAAGTTCTTTTTCTTAGCATACAGTGTTTTGTGTGAATGAGCTGTAAATATTTAAGTTAAAAGGGCTCATTAGAAGGTAGCACCATTTGTGCCTTAAAAAAATACTGGTTTCTCTATGTTGAAAAAAATCACTTATTATGGTCCAGTCTATAGTATCATATTAAAGAAGCCCTGGTGGTGCAGAGATTAAAGCAATCAACTGGTAACCAAAAGGTTGGTTGTTCGAAACCACCAGCAGCTCCATGGGAGAAAGATGTGGCAGTCAGCTTGCGTAGATATATACAGTCTTGGAAACCCTATGGGGTCACTATGAGTCAGAATTGACTCGATGGCAGTGGGGGTATAGTACCGTATTATTAACTGTTTTTCCCCTTTCCCAGTTCCATAGACTTTTCATGTTCTTGGTTATGGAAACCGTAATAACATGCATAATGACTTTTGGGTTTTCTTCACTTAAAGTACAAGATAGAAACTTTTAAATCCGCGAACTCGTGTTGTTGTTAGTTGCCTTCGAGTCAGCTCTGACTCATGGCCACCTTATGTATAACGGAATGAAACATTGCCTGCCTGCGCTATCCCCATGATCTTTGATATGTTTGAGACTATTCCACCAACTCATGCCCTGTTGCCGTTGATTCCAACTCACAGCGACCCTATTGGACAGAGTAGAACTGCTCAATAGGGTTTCCAAGGAGCGGCTGGTGGATTTCAACTGCTGACCTTTTGGTTAGTAGCCGTAGCACACTGTAGCTCTTAACCACTGCGCCACCAGAGCCCCCCACGAACTCTTAGGAGGAAATAATTATAGGGACTCAAAGTAAAAAATAACCCAACTTTGTTTCTCTGTTTAATGCAGTCAGTGAGTTTAAAATTAAGAATTGTGAGCTATAACAAAAAATAATGATAAAAATAATATACTTTATTTTTGTATTTTGACCAATTGACTAAAGAAGCAGAGTAGGGAAAACATGTAGAAAGAGGAGATAATTGTTGAAGAGAACTCACAAAGTTGTTTCCCTCCAATTCCCTTCCCCTTCTCCTCCCCCTTCCTGCCTTTGCCTGTCCTTCCCCTCCTTATGGGTCTTCCGCTACCTCATACCCTCCCCAAACCATGCGTTAATTACGGAAGTGAAGGACCTACCCTGGGGTATACGCCTCAGACGCAATTGTGTAGTCACCTAAACCTTAAAGCTTGGTATGGAGGTGAGGGGTGGCATCAACTAAAAGTGTTGCGAGGAAAAGAATTGACTGATACACTGACTCATCAAAAGTTATGCTTTAGATGTTTACAAAGACAGTAGGCTCTGCCAGACCTTTTAGAAGTATTTGAATGTGTTTTAATTCCTACTTAATATTGAGAAGTACAAATAGTCTGGAAATCTTCTTCCTATATTTTCAACAACAGCGACAAAAAAAAAAAAAAAACTCTCCTAACTACAGCGAGATATCTCATGTATCATTTTAGAATTGGTTAGATGGCTGATCCTAGACTTAAGACGAGAAAAATGACATGTAATTTGATACAGCGAGCACTCTCTCCTATAAATCTTAGATAATTTTTAGTATTCATTACTATGGCCATGAATATTTAGTCTATCCAATGACCTGGGGTTAATCTGACTTTTAAATTACAAACCAACTTTGTGTTAAATGAAACACGGAGTGCTGGATAAATTATTTTTTGAATACATTCTTCACAGCCATTTCACCTGCTGATGTCAATTATGGAGAAACCCTAAGTACTCTTCGCTATGCAAATAGAGCCAAAAACATCATCAACAAGCCTACCATTAACGAGGACGCCAACGTCAAACTCATCCGTGAGCTCCGAGCTGAAATAGCCAGACTGAAAATGCTGCTTGCTCAAGGGAATCAGGTTGTGTTTTTTCTGAGATTTATGGATAATTTTCTTTGAGTAATGGCATCTATTTCTAGATCTTAATGAGACAGTTATCTCGCTTGTAGTATTAATTTTTGTAAATAAAAAGCAAAACAAAACAAAAAACCAAACCTGTTGCCAAGTAAGTGCTAAGTAAAGATTGGATGAGTTAGCCAGTCTCTCCTTTACATCAACCTCTGATTGGCCTTTGCATTCATTATGTGCTCTGGTATAAGATTTTACCTACTAAACCTGAAATGATTAACAGTTATCAATCATAGATGGAATTTTAGCATGTAATAGGATTAGTGGCATAATCTCCATTAGTGGAAAGAAATTGTGGTGCTTAGAGTAATATCTGAAATTCCACCCATGCATTTCATGATTTGAAAATGTATTTTAACAGAATGAAAGATTTATTTGAACACCTTTCTAAATTTTTATTTCATATGGCCCGTTATAGAGGTGGTTGCAGCAGTTCAGTGACACTTGTGATATTACACTTTGTGGCTTGGCTGAGGTGATGTCCCTCAGGCCTTGCTTGATTGTTGAAATGTCCTTTTGGGATTCTAGTGAGGAAGGCTTGTCTTTCTGTGTTTTCACAGTAAACTTCTTTATAAACTGCGTAGTATACAGGTACATTCTACGATGAATCATGTTACAGTTAAGTTCTAGTGGGTTGTTGTGAAGAAAGACCACCCTTGAAAGAAAATCAAGGATAGCTTTTTTAAAATGTTGAACGTAGACCCGAGTTAGAAATGAAACAGATACATTTCCTCCCATTTTCTTAACCCGTGAGTGGATATCTTAAGTCTATCATTAAAAAAAAAAAGCTTTTCCTTAATGCACTCATCTCTAGAGCAGTGCTTTCCATGTAGGACTGTATGGCACTTGAAGCTCTTGGCATCCCATAACTGGTTTGGACTGAGAAAATCTTGACTGGACGAAAGCCTCACTGGTGTTCCTGTGTCCTGAAATATACCTGACAGCTCTTTCCAATAAGATGACAGAGAGCAGTTGAAGAGAAATTTGTTCCTTGCACTTAAAAATACCTTCACACATGTTTGACTTGATCATGTGGAGCTTTCCAGTGTGAATGGGAACTGTCAGGATGAAGAATCCAGCTGGGTGTGATTTTATCAGGCCATATGCTGCCCCTTGGAAACCCTATGGGGTAGTTCTGCTCTGTCCTATAGGGTCGCTATGAGTCGGAATCGACTCGGCGGCAGTGGGTTTTTTGGTTTTTTATATAACTTATAGCATGAACCAAAATAATCGTTTTTATTATATACCTAGTTATTGGTATCTTTTCTCAATGTTTTAAATACATTATTTATTTTAAAGTAAGCATTTAAAGATAATTCGATAGGCTCCCCAAGCTACTGTATGTGAGTGAAAGTATTCGGAAAATTCTAGCTTTAACTGCTTGTATTTGTCCTTTTACTAAGTTATGAGAATGAAGGGAAGAAGGAAGGATTGGCCTTTTCTAATTAAACTGAGGAAAACTTAAAAAGAAACCTTAAACCACATGGACAGAATAACTTTATTAAAATTTTTACAGATCCTCTCTAAAGAATTACTTCTTTAGAGGCCAAATACAAGGCCAAATGGTTGCATTATATTTGTAGTCTTTTTTTCTTGTGTTTCTTTCATGACCAAAGACCACTGTAATTAAGGGAATGTTTTTGTGGCTGTAGTTTTGGAGGTGTGGGCGGAAAAGATGATTAAGTCTACTTTAGAACACATTGAAGACAAAATTCTTGGGTAAACTTAATACATTACAATAAAAACGGGAGTCTGATTTAAACTAATTCATGGTGCTGTGAAACCCTAAATTGTTGTGAGACAGTACAGGCTTATCCTAAATTAGTTTTATGATGCTTAATAAAACAAGCAGGTATTCATAAATGCTGATTAACAATCCCAGTATAAATTTTCTGAGAATGTTGCTCCTTTCCCAGAATATTCTACTCATGGTTCATTGAGAATGTTACTTAGTCAAATCAGAGTTTCATTTCTAGAGTTATTTATTTAAGCACAGCTAAATAAAATTCAGCTTCTACTTTTAATAATTTTATGTATTTCTCTTGCAAAATAGCATGTGCATCAAAGTTCTAAAAGCACAATTTAAAAAAGCAAAAGATTCTGACATGTATTTGCTTCACCTGTATCTCTATATCTGTAGTGGTTTATATGTATAAGCTTTTACACAATTTTTGTTGTTTATCATATAAACTACTATATAAAATTTTTACTGAATAAACTTTTCATTGAAGTATTACATATGTACAAAAGAATTGCATATTTTAAGTATACAGTTAAGTAAATTTTCACAAACTGAACTCTCCCATCTAACCCAAACCCAGATCAAGAAACCAAATCTTGACAGCATCCTAGAAGCACCTCTCTTGCTTCTTTATAGGCACCACCTGCCCCTTCCCTCAAAGGTAATACCCTGACTTTTAGCAGCATAAATGAGGTTTGCACATTTTTGTCGTTTATATATATATGGAATCACACAGTACATACTCTCTTGATCTGAATTCTTTCATTCAACATTGTTTTTGTGAGATTCATCCATGTTGTTACATACAGTTGTACGTCATTCTCATTGCTATATAGTATTCCATCATGCAGACGTGTCCCAACCCATTTATCTGTTCCACTTTAGATAGATATTGGGAGAGTATCCTGTTTGAGGGTGTTAAAATTAGTGTTGTGATGAACTTTGTTCTGCATGTCTTTTAGTGAACATAGAGCTACATATGTGTTATGTTTATACCTAAGAGTGGAATTGCTAGGTCAGAAGATGTACATATGTTCAGTTTTCATAGATACTGCCTAACAATTTTTCAGAGTGTTTATACTAATTATATCCCACCATCGATGTGTGAGAGGGTCAGTTCTAGTTGTTCCAGCTCCTTGTCAACACTTGGTATTGTACATTTTTCATTGTAACGATTCTGATGTTTGGCAATTTGGCAATTTAAAATAATCACACATATAAATAACCCATAAATTCCTCTTCCAGGAATTTAGTTCTATTCATATATCCGTGTATGCGGTCAGTTGGCATAGGATATTCATTGTAGCATGGTATCACAGGATGGTTTCAGTGTGCATTTCTCAGATGATTAATAACATTGAGCATTTGGATATCTTTTCTTTTGAAGTATCTCTTCTCTTTTATTATATTTAACACATATTTTCAAACTTCTGCTTTTAATTTGGCAGTGGGAAAATATTTCTTTACTCTTTCTTCTGTCTTGAATGTTTATGGAAGTAATAACAATGAAACAATGTAGGACTGAAATTAAAAGCAAAAGTCAGGAACCAAAGAAGTCAGGAAGAGAAGATGGAAGTTGGATGAGTTCCTAATCTTTATAGCAAGGGGTCAAAGATAAATTTTAAATGATAGCTAGTTAATGGAAGTATCAGTATGTGTAAACTTTTAAGATAGACTGCGTCTCAGATGGAGTCACAAAGTAAAACTCAGTTATATGGTGTTTGTAAGAATGGGCAAAGACCTACCAGGTAATTCAAGAGGAAAGAAAGCAGTGCAAAAACAGCATTATGTGAGCTTAAAAAAGGAGCACTTTCTCATGTCAAAGAGTGCAACTTATGATGAAAATCAAACATGACATCAAATTTCAGAAAGGAAAACAATAACCAAAAAAAAAGCTATAGGAAATAGCAGGAGAGAAAGCCAGACACAGATTTATCACAGGAAATTTTAACTCCTTTTTCTCATTTTGTGAGAGCTCAAGTAGACAAAAATAGGTAAGGACTTACAATATTTATATAACATAATTAGAATTTCCTATAATCATAAACCAGAAAAAAATTGCAACTCATGCAACAAGACTAGTTTTCTTATTATGAAAACAACTTCTATAAAAAAATAAGAAAAAGATCAAACCGATACCCAACAGAAAAATGAACAAAGGCTGCAAGTCCACAATGCATAGGAAAAAAAGAAATTTAAATGACTTTTTAAACCTATGAAAGTATGCTCAGTATCATTTGAAATATAATAAATGCAAATTCTAAAAATAATTGGAATGGGTATATATATGTATATGTAAAACTATATACATATATTTATATATGTATATAGATATGTAATCAAACTGTGGACTTAAGATTTGTGAATTTTACTGCATGTAAATTTTACCTCAAAGTTCTTAAAAATAATGAGATGTCCTTTTCACATGTTAGATTGGCAGAGATCCAAAAGCTTGATTATGCAGTATATTGACAAAGGTGGGAAGAAAGAGGTGCTTGTATTCATTGTTAAAAACCAGTTGCAGTCCGGTGGATTCTAACTCATAGTGAACGTAACTATAGGACAGAGTAGAGCTGCCCCATAGCGTTTCCAAGGCTGTAACCTTAAGGGAAGCATAGTGCCACATCTTTCTCTCGCGGAGTGGCTGGTGGGTTTGAATCGCCATTCTTTTGGTTAGCAGCCATATGCTTTAACCACTGCACCACCAGGGCTCCTTATACATTGTTAGTGGAGTTAATATTGCTACAGATTTGATATAGTGTTATTCTTGATTTAATGACACATGAATTTTATCTGTATATTATTTAATCATGAACTGTTTTCTTCTAAACAGAAACCTTGCAAAGAATAATTCAATTGAAAATGATTTAGTTTTATCAAAGATTTTTTAATAAACGACTTAAGTAGACCTTTCTTTACATGTGCTACTTCAAAATACTTTTCCAGCAGAGGTGGTGGTTGTAATAGCCTTCAACTACTACTGAGCTGATGATGTGGTAGGAATGTTTGTTTTAATTTATATGAAAAATCCCGACAGTGAATTCTTTAAAATTAACCATTTTATTAAAGGGCATACTAATTGGTTTTAAAAAAAATTACCAATCATGTATAAATAGTGCTGACATGTTAAAGTCTGTGACTTTAATTTCCTCGGTGAAAAATATTTATTGAGTACCATCTGTGTGCAAGATGACATGCTAAGTGAAGTGATGCGTTGTAGTAACAGGTTAATAAAACTCTTTTTCACCAAGGGCAGAATTGACCTTGGGTTAACTTCTGGCTTCAGCCTCTGCAAACCACAGAAAAATGGAATGCCAGCTGTATAAGCAGGCAACATTTCTAATGATGAAAATAGTCCCTAATTGGTACATTGCATCTATATAGAACTATGAGTCCCTGGTGGTGCAAAGGGTTAATATGCTTAGCTGCTAACCGAAAGGTTGGAGGTTTGGGTCCACCCAGAGGTGCCTTGGAACAAAGCCCTGGCGATTTATTTCTGTAAAATCAGCCATTGAAAAATCTATGGAGCATGGTTCTGCTCTGACACCAAGTCACCATGAGTCAGACCTGACTTGATGGCAACTGATAGGACTGTAAATGCTTGTTGGAAAGTCATGCTTTGGGTTTTCGTGAGAGCGGTGACTCTTATAACCGGGTGTGTCCATTGTGGGGAACCTGGAGGATGTATATATCGGGTGGTTTGTTACCAGAGATATTGGCTTCTGTGGAGTGTGGGCTTCTAAGCCAAGGTGGACTTCACACATGATCGTGTGAGTCTTGATACTTCCAACGTGAGTGGCTGCTCAGAGGGACAAGGAGGATAGCTCCTGGACAACTGTGAGGACTGCTGCCCGGACTGCTGTGCGGACCTTGCCCAGAAAGTGGAACCCTTGCGTCCCTGCTGGCAAGCTCTGCTTTCTGCTGCATAGACAAATGCCAGGCGTGGCCACGGTTGTCTTGTTAATCTAAATGTTTAACTAAACCTAAGAAGACTGCCTCGTGAGTGTTATGTTTGTTTGAAAAGAAATTGAAAAATAAATAGTAATGAAAAAAAATGCCTCTGTGGAGGACTATTTGGCAATTTAAAATAATCACACATATAAATAACCCATAAATTCCTCTTCCAGGAATTTAGTTCTATTCATATATCCGTGTATGCGGTCAGTTGGCATAGGATATTCATTGTAGCAATGCCGGGAAAGCAAACAATTAGAGAAAGCTACATTTTCATTAATAGGAGAGTACTGACATAAAGAATATCCATACAATGAGGTACTGTACAATGGAATTGGAATTGTAAAAAGGAATGAGGTGGGTAGAGACAGGAAAGGAAAATGGAACCTAGGCAGAGAGGTGCACAAGAGGCTTCGGCTGACTCATAGCGTTTTAGTCCTTAAGCTAAGTGATAGGTACGTGATGCTCACTAGTCTTTTGTCCTTGTTCAGTGCGTAATACCCCATGTGTGTCAGGGTACAACTGTGCTTCACAGGGTTTTCAGTGGCTGATTTTTCAGAAGTATATCGCCACACCTTTACAGTTTGGTGTGTAAACTTGCAATTATTATGGTCACGTGCAAGCATGTTTTTGCCTATTCTTAATATTGCCTTTTTCACTCAACAGTATATCTTGGGGAAAACCGAGTACAAATACTTCATTCTTTTTAACAATTCCAGTTGCATTCATTGTACAGTGTGCCATTGTTTTAACCTGATTTTGTTGTTTATACTTCTGCAGCATTGATAAGCGAATGAGTAAATAGATTGTGGTGTAGCCAGGGCATACTGCTATTCAGCAGTGAAAATAAATGTATTTCATTTGCATGTATCCCCACAGATGAATCTCAGAAACCTGTGGTTGAGTAGAGCTCACCCTTTTACGTTTTGAGTTTTGTAGTTTGTGCGTATTAAAAACAGATGAATCCTTTAGGAGCTATAGGGGTTTAGATCATATTTGATTTTGGTAAAAGATCAGTTACACGTTTGTCTTTTTCTTTTTCTTTGCTGATTTGCATTGCAAATGTAGGGTTACCTGGGTGCCACAGATTTGAATATTATGAGATATGTGCTCCATGAATTAAAGACTTAGTTGTAATTGACACTTTTTTGGAGGGGACATTACTTTTCACCTCTATGTATAGCTTATTTGGAAATGTTTGATAATTTACTATATTCATGGAAAAAATGTTTAGATTGTTGCTCTTTCCTAATTGGCGATGTCTTGTCTGGTTTAACTTGTAGATCGCCCTCTTGGACTCCCCTACAGCTTTAAGTATGGAGGAAAAACTTCAGCAGAATGAAGCAAGAGTAAGTGATACCTTGACTTATTGTTTAAATCATAACTTTCACTGTTTGTTATGGATTGAATTATGTCCCCTAAAAATATGTGTTGTAAATCCTAGCCCCTATACCATTAATGGAATTCTGGTGGCGCAGTGGTTAAGAGCTTGGCTGCTAACCAAAACGTCAGGAGTTCTGATCCACCAGCTGCTCTGTGGAAACCCTATGGGTCAGTTCTGCTCTGTCCTAGAGGGTTGCTATTGAGTCAGAATTGAGTTGATGGCAATGGATTTGGTTTGGTGGGTTTTTATACCATTAATGGTTATAATTCCATTTGGGAATGGGTTTTCTTTGTTATGCTGATGAGACAGTATTATTGTAGGGTGTGCTTTAAATCAATCTCTTTTGATATAAAAGAGCAGATTAAGCCAGCAAGCAAGCACAAACAGAAGGGGAAGATAGATACAAGCCACATAATTGCCAAGGAACCTAGGAATAGAAGCTGAAAAGAGACAGAGACCTTCCCCCAGAGGGGACAGAGAGAATCTTCTCCTAGAGCTGGCACCCTGAATTCGGACTTCTAGCCTCCTAAACTGTCAGAGAACAAATTTCTGTTTGTGAAAGCCACCTGCTTGTGGTATTTCTGTTATAGCAGCACTAAATAACTGACGCTTACATTTTAAGCGCATGTTCTTTAGTGCTCTTGTTTGAGATTCATCTTCTCTCTTGGTTATACTTAGGCATCCCCCCAACTCCCACCCGTAGTCTTCCTTTTTTTTTTTGGTGAGCTAAATTCCAGGGTCATTTTTAAAGAAGCACAATAGTTGACTTTTTATGTATCGAATCACATTCTCTATGACTTAGTAAGTGGACTTTGCCCGTCACAGAATGGCTAACTGCAACTATAATTTACACGCCTGCCCTGGCAAAGCAGTGAGGTGGCTCCGGCCATCAGAGCAGACAAGCGTCCCTGGTCTGGGGAGTCTGTGTTCAACGTTCACTAAACAGCAGGACGCCCCAAAGCTTACTAGTGACCAGGGTTTAGTTTTCTGTCATCCAGTGGGAAGTGCAGCGTTTGGGGACTCTCTAAATACTTAAGGTGGATGCTTAGTTTCTCTTAAACTGAATGAGATTTGAGGCTGGGAGGGAGAGTGGCAGTGACCAGCCCGAGGAGAGAAGAGCTCTGGAGATGTCAGGGGCCAAAGCCAGTGTTTGTGCGCTGGTGCTCTCTGAAGACCAGCTTCATGGCTGACCTGCTGATATGCCATTTTAGTTAACAAAAAGAAAAAAGCCTCTATGAAAAGAGAAACAGGCATTAAGAACAATTTTTGGAGTTGATTATGTTCACTGTGTTGAATGGTTAAAACAGAATGAGAAAGAAGCTTGGATTCTGTTGGTAAAAACTCTCTCAAGAATACACAATATTGGAGATATAAGCTGGGCTGTAGTTAGGAACTTGCTGACACTTCCTGGAATAGATCATGCTGATAATAGCATTAGTAAAAACATTAATGTCTTAATGCCTGTATTTCGCATAAAATTTTGTATTTTAGTGCTTGAAATTCTAATTTCGAGTGCTATGAAATGTCTGCGTATAGTCTTAAATTGTTTCTTAATAATAGTTTTCAGGAATACCTAGCAAGTTAATAGACACCAATAAACATTTTAATTTGAATATATTATGCATGCTGTGACAGAAATGACTGCTTATCGTGCTCTTAACATTTTCTGAAATTGTGTCTGGCATATTGCTGACCCTTTTTAATTGCTTGCCATCTGCTTGGCAATAAATCTCACATGATTACGTTGATAGAGGTGGTATCACAACACTTTCATTTTTTATTAATTTATAAGTGAAGATTATTTGATTTAAATTCATTAGTAAAATAAATCATGGCATAATTGTAATTTTCTAAAGCTAGAATTATTTGATTGAATTGGAAAGGGACTGATTGGCTCAATTTCTTCAGTGAGAACTTATCTATTGGTGAAATGCAGAATCATTTATTATTGAAGGTTTTGTATTTCTCAGATAAATTGCCAGTGAGAATGTATATGTTAACTGATTAGTATAAACTAATAAATTCAGTACACCAGTCTTTTTCCTTCTGTATGGAAAGAAGGCGTAAGAATATTCCCTTTATGAAAGCTTTTCCCAAACAAACAAACACGATAGCCACATGGCTTCTTGTTATCATCAGAGTTCTGTGAGGCTGGCCCATCAGGTGACCAGAGTCAGGACTGGAGTGCCTGCCTGGTTGCGTGTTTCCAAATCATTAAAAACAAATACCTAAGAGAAGCTGTTTTGTCAGGTTTCTTATGCTTTTCACCAAGATGATGATAGATTCTGACTTAAGTAAAAGAAGAAACATTATTAAAGAAATGCTGACGTAGAACTCAGCATTAAGTTCTGTTAAGGTAAATTGAGGAGTAAAATGAACTGCCGCTGAGTGACTGGATAGAGGTGAATGGGGCAGATTTTGATTTTCCCCTTGTTCTTCCCTTCTTTGTCAATAGCAAACACTTTCTTTCACAAAGTGTGCAGCCTGTCTTCTTCCGTAAAGAGTACAACTTGAAAATCCTATGGGGCAGTTCTGCTCTGTCCTAAAAGTCCACTATGAGTCGGAATCAATTCAACTACAACAGGTTTTGTTTTTTGTTTGTTTTTTTTTTTAACCTTTACGAAGGCAGACTGCCGCATCTTTCTCCTGCAGAGCAGCTGGTGGATTCTAACCGCAGACCTTTTGGTTAGCTGTCATGCGCTTAACCACTGCACTGCCAGGGCTGCGTCCTCTCTCTTAGTCTTAGGTGAATTCCTATCCATGGAACACATTGTTCATTCTTTTTTTTTTTTTTTTAACCTCCTGATTGAAGCATCACTCTTTGCTTATTAATTAATCACTTGTTGTTGTTGTATGCCGTCAAGTCAATTTCGACTCATAGCAATCCTGTGTGGCAGAGTAGAACTGTCCCATAGGGTTTCCTGGGCTGAAATCTTTATGGGAGCAGATTTTTCTCCTGTGGAGCTGCTAGGTGGGATTGAACTGTTCACCTTTTGGTTAGCAGTCAAGCGCTTAACCGTTGTGCCACCAGGCGGATCATTTAAAAAGTTTTATGTAACTATGAGAATATTTCCATTAACTTTGAGAAGCAATTTCCAACTGTGCTGTGATCAATAGTGGGGGATGTTTTTACTCCCAAGTTACAGCAGACTGGAAAGAGGCTGATTTTTATCAAATTTTTGGTCTTAATAAGAGAGTCAATTAAAGAACCTCCTTTTTTTTTTTTTTAAAAGACAGAATGAGACTTATAAACCCTATTAATTAGCTACAAAAGCAAATTATCTCCTAAAAGAAAACTTCAGCATCGAAGGTAATTTAATCACCACATGAAACATTAATCCATTTAATGGGATGTTGTCATCCTTGAACTTAAAATTTTGGTAAATATCCAGGGAAGCAGCTTTTATTTAAGTACACCATGAAAATGACTTGTAAAACTCCAGACAGTTGGCAAATTCTTGTCTGTTCTTTCTTTTGCTATAATGTAGGATGCAGGATGAGATCAGCTTGTTTTGATATATATTTGGTGATGATTGTTTCAAGGGTGGAAATTACTATCTAATTAAAAATAACTATAGTACATTCTTCCATAAGACATAAGGGTTTGTAGAATTACTGGAAGAAAATCATAATTTTTTATAGAACAATCATATATGCATATTCTTCCTTTTAGGTTCAAGAGTTGACCAAGGAATGGACAAATAAGTGGAATGAAACCCAAAATATCTTGAAAGTAAGGACTGTGAAAGACGTCTTAGTCTTACTGTGGTGGCTTAAATAGGTAAAACTTTTTTTCCCCTCATATGTGGGTGTTGTGTACTTTGCTTAAGGTAAGATCAGTGGAGCTGATGAGTGACTTTTTTGGAGGTGGGATTCTGGTTTGAATTTGAAAGAATGGGCATGGGAGTTATTAGACATTGTTGCTGTGTGTATTTTAACACATACAGGTTATGTTGATGCTATACATGTTTGCTTTTGCTTGTTGGAGTTTTTCATCCTTGACTCAGCAAATATTAGAACTCTAACATTTAAGGATCTCTACTTTGCCTTTGCGCTTTTGTTAAGCTCAGTATAAAAGCAATAACGTTAAATAAAATAAAGACTTCCCATGTTAATATTGTATAGTATACTTGCATAGCATGGCTAGTTTTCAGGAATTTGTAAATTAGAATTTCCCATCAGAATTTTTTCTTTGTGTCCTGAGGGCTGGATGGTGATTGTCTGCATTTCTGGCAACATTCATTGTGGAAGATAGTCAGTAAGGATTAACTTTGTTAAAGGATTCAAATCTAGACCTAATATTGGTGAGGCTAAATAGATGAGATTTAACTAAACACTTGGCAGAACCCAAGCTTGGATCCCTTTTACGTGAAAATGGGGGTAAATTTGTGAAAGCTTGAATTAGCTGTTGGATTCTGCATCTAACAACCCTCTGAGAGCGGGGATGACATCAGATTACATAAGGTTCTCCTTGTACTACTTAGGCAATTTGGCTTACTGTGGGATTAGAAACACTGTTTCTTATGAAGTCAGAGGTCATGCTGAAGCTCGAGTTGTGGTGAGATACGATGGCCCTAGAGATAAAATTTCCAGCTGCAGAAGGTGCTATAATAGTGAGGACTTCTATGTTGAGGCTTTTTTCCTTCCTCTTGATTATAATAATAATAATAATATATTGTTTTGAGGTACTTCCTCAGTGTTTCCTTTGTTGAGAGATTTTTGTGTGGGAAACAGCAGAGATCTCACTCATATTTCAGAATAGTCAGGGGTGGAATAAGCACTGGCAAAGATGTAAGTATTTTTCGTAGTGTTTAAGTTGCATCCACTCTAACAAGCAGTGCGACAGCCCACAATTTATGAAGCCCGAGTCATCTGACTGTGTACACTTTCCTGGGTAAATTTGCCAAAGAGGGAGGACTAAAATCTGTTCCATTTAAAGGAAAAAAAAAAAAAATTAAATGTTTAACTATTTGAAGTCATTAGTATACCAGGTGCCCGTTAGCACAGGAGGCAATGCAACAATCATTTGAAAGATTTAGGCATCATCTCTTCTGCTGCTGCGGTTTCTCCTTGTGACTGTAGTTGAGATTTTATATTGTCTCTGCAAAGATAGCCACATTCCGAGTCTCAATGGTGAAACCTCTAAACTTTTTACATATGTGCTTACTCATAAGGTGATTCTGGGCTCTGGAGTTAAATCTTCCTGATTCCAATTCAGTTTTCCATAAATTTCATTATTATTATTTTTTATAATTTTTACATGAGGAAAAAAATTGTGTTACGTGCTAGGCGTTAAAGATGATGAGAAAGTCTAATGATATTTTAAATTTTTCACTTTTTTTGACGTTGCAAGCCCATTTTACATTCTCTGTTAGTATTGTGCTTTAAATTGATACTCCTTTTCTGCTCAGGGCTGGTATTTTAAAGGGCTGTCTTCATTTCTTACTGGAAGACAGTGCCTGAGGGCCGAGGTGAAGAAGAAAGCTTCTCAAATGCTTTTTTTGGAAAACATTCTTTGGAAATTGATGAGTAAAAGGATTGTTAGTCAGCGAGTTGGTGCCTCTTCAGTGTGTGTAATCTTCCCCAAATTTCTGCTGTCTGTGTTTCATCAGTCAGCTGTTGCTTCAATAGTGCTGCACAAAAAGCACCCAAGCCAGTGGCTTAGACGACAGTCATTTAATATCTTCCCTCTTGCATGTGCTTGTTGGCTGGGGGTTGGCTGGGGTAGTGTGGTGTGGCAGGGCTTGGATCCAGGCCATGGTTGGGTCCAGGTCTTTTCTACTTGTCTCTCATCCCCTTTGTACCAGCTGGCTATGTGGGCCTTGTCCTTCTCATGGTCATGGCCAAGGTACAAGCACAGAAGCCCAGTCATGTAAGCACATCTCAATCCTCTGCTCACGTCATGTCTGTTGACATCCTGTTAACTGAAGCAACAAGTCTCTTGGCTCAGTGGAAAGTCAAGGGATGATGAAGGAGTATATTCACCCACAGTGAGGCCATGGAAAGGGTGTAAATGTACAGTCCTACTGCGGGACCAATAGTTTAATCAACACATGTTGTTGTGTGCCATTGAGTCAATTCTGACTCATAGTGACCCTACAGGACAGAGTAGAGCTGCCCTGTAGGGTTTCCTTGTCGGAAATCTTTACAGGAGCAGATTGCCAGCTTTTTTCTTCCACGGAGTGGCTATTGGGTTTAAACCATTGACTGTTCCGTTAGCAGCTGAGTGCTTAACAATTGCATCACCAGGGCTCCTTAATCAACACGTGCCCACCTGTCTTAGTCATCTAGTGCTGCTATAACAGAAATACCACAAGTGGATGGTTTTAACAAAGAGACATTTATTCTCTCACAGTCCAGTAGGCTATGAGTCCAAATTCAGGGCATCAGCTCCAGAAGGCTTTCTCTCTCTGTCGACTCTGGAGGAAGGTCCTTGTGATGCATCAGTCTTCCTTTGGTCTGGGAGCTTCTCTGCACTGGAACCTCAGGTCCAAAGGATGCACTCTGCTCCAAGCACTGCTTTCTTGGTGGTATGAGGTTCCCATGTGTCTCTGCTCGCTTCTCTCTTTTATATCTCAGAAGAGATTGGATTAAGACACTAATCTTGTAAACCTCATCAGTATAACTGCCACTAATCCATTGTACTAGATCATAGTGATGGAGTTTACAACACATAAGGAAATCACACCAGATTACAAAATGGTACACAGTCATACAATACTGGGAATCATGGCCCAGCCAAATTGATACACACATTTTTTTGGGGACATAATTCAATCCATGACACCACCTTAAAATATCAATTTTTAAATTCTGGGATCTTGCTCTCATACTGGATCTGCACATTTTGTAGAGACAAACCCAGTGAAGCATTAAATTTCCATGATTGTCTTCGTCATAAGGATGCTGTTGTTTCCTCTGCTGGTTTCTTGTCATCCCTTCCAAGCCCTAAATTCTAGACATTGAAGGAGAGACCTTTGGAGAGAAGATTGAAGAGAGTTAAAACATGGAGGGGATCGAAGGTAAACATCAGGACCGATTTAGTGTTTATTGACACAGTGATACCTTGTTGACTTTTTGTGCCCAACTTTTTTGACAGTCATTTCAGAGGAGATTGGTGGGTATTGTTTGAAGAGGGGACTAGTGAAAGGAGTAGAAACAATCATCTTAATGTTCAGCATGATCTTTGTTGTTGTTAAGCTAACTGTTCTGTGAGTGTGTATTTCCTGTGTGTCAGCTGAGACTTGAGATTAGTTTTTCAGCATACGTCATGAGGAGTGGCTTTGGGAATATAGAGGAACCCCCTTTCATGCAGGGATTGGAGTCTAAAGTCTGTGTGTAAGTAGAGGTCCCTTAAAATTAGCATTTTGCTCCAAAGCCCCTTAAATTGCCCGGGAAATCACCAGGTCCTGAGCCCTTAGATGCTCAAAAGCCAAGGATTAACTTTGTTCCCTCTTATTGCCTCTAGGCAGTGACTCCTTTTGCCCTGGATGAGGGAAACCCAAGGACCTGTTGAATGTGGGTGGAGGGAGAGTGAAAGGCTCCTGGGTAAACACAGGCATTGATGAAAAGGCACTGCCTCTTTACGGCAATGCTCATGGTGATAGTAGATGGAGCCATGGGCTTTGATCTGCGGAACTCGAATCTTTTCATTTCCATGTCTGACTCCTATGGGCTGCCCTTTCTCAGGCAGCTATGAGACTCGCTGGTGGGAGGTTGGAGAGGGACCCCCCGCCCACTGCTGTTCCCCCACCTCTTCCCTGGGCCCCGTGTAGCATCTCCAGTGGCAGGTGTGTCTTCTGCGTGGCCCCAGGTATATCTTCTCTGATCCGTTGTGGCTGTAGTACTGCCTGGTGACACAGCTCTGGCTCCTGAATCACTTCCTTTTCCTTTTTGCCCCTCCAGCCAAGGGGTGGCACTGGCTCCCTGCTGTTGCCAGTTTGTGGGTGGCCTCACTGTCCCAGATGGCTTCAGCTGAGTAACCAATTCTGTATCCTAAAGTCCCTCGGATTTCAATACTGGTGCGGTTTCTGTTATGTTGTTAGACCTTGTCTAACACCAGACTGTATGCTCCACATCCCAATCTCTTGATTTGTATGAAGGCTTCTCAGAATCTGGTGTGTTAACATATTGTTTTTCTCTTTCTAGTCTTCTCTTAGAATGCTACCCCAATGTGTTTTTCATCCTTGCTGGGTTTTTCTTAAAATGTGATGACTCTTTAGGGACTTAGAAGATAACGGTGTGATCATTCCAGCTTCTCCAAGCCTTGGGATCAGTGGATTCTTGAGGCCTTTACTATTGGTTTCCCTTTTGCTGCAGTATTATGCTTAGTGTTTAAAGTGTCTTATAAACTGAGTGCTTAATTCTACTCCCATGTACCTTTTGCCTTGGCTTTTTGCAAACCTCGTATGTTTTGTTGCTGTTGGAGTTTTTCAAGTGACCCTTTAACAGGAGGAATCCCGACCTTCTTTCTCCACTCCTACTTTCTTTTCTCCCCACCTCAATCCTTATACTCTTTTCAGTTTGTCTGCTTTGTGCACGTTTTGGTTTTTCTGTTCCATCCTTTTGTAAATGATTTAAAAAAATGCTCAAAGGTACATTATCTGACTTCCAAATAACTCCTTGAGCTCTGTGCTTCAAAACAGATCACCAACAGTTTGGACTCCAGCATAAAACTCACAACTATCTGGCAGATGGTGTGACAGAAGGAGAGCGGGCTTTGTGCAGCGTCTGTCCTGAGCAGAACTGCAGGGTGGGGCTTGCAGCCCATAGCATGCCTCTGGTTGAAGCCCTCCAGCATAGGTTCTTCTTATTTTTTAATAAATTGGATCTCTTCCTTTTGAAAAGCACGTCTTTTGATTCTGTTAGTGTCTGACTTGGTTTTGCGTTTTCATTGCCTTCCACAGGACTCCTGACAATGGCCTGACATGGGGGTGGCGTGGGGGGAGGAGGCTACTCATACCCAGAAGCTGCAACAGAAGAGGCTCTTCTTTGGAAATTACAAGTTATTTGTAAGAGTGTGAGGTGAATTAAAGTTTTTTTTTTTCTTTCCAGCCTTTCATTATATGGAATTTTGATATATGTTATACATAAGTAGTGAACAATAGTATTTGTTGAATTGAATTTGGAAGATGGAACATATTAGAATCCATGTGATGGTGGGATCCTAATGCAAACGACTGAAGTTTGGTGTCTTAGTATTCCTTTGGCTTATAGTATCCTTCTTCTACTCTGTGGTGGAATAGAGGAAGCAGGATACTACAAGGCGATGGCAAGGGTGGATAACACATTTGAAGATAATTTTTTACTCTTTCAGAGTTTTTGAGTAATAAATTATACTAAAATGAAATTGAAATCTTTTCCTGGTTTAAGATTTTCTGAGTTTAAATTTTCATAGGGAAGCATGCTTCCAACCAACTTATTTTTTTGTTATTTTGTTTCGGCCACACAAGTCCTCTTTAAAGTGTTGAAAAGCAAAGATGTCACCTTGAGGATTAAGGTGCGCCTGACCCAAGCCATGATGTTTTCAATCGCCTCATGTGCATGCTAAAGCTGGACAATGAATAAGGAAGACTGAAGAAGAATTGACGCTTTTTGAATTGTGGCATTGATGAAGAATATTAGATATACTGTGGACTGCGAAAAGAATGAACAAATCTGTCTTGGAAGAAGTACAACCAGAATGCTCTTTAGAAGCAAGGATGGCGAGACTACGTCTCAGATAGTCTGGACATGTTGTCAGGAGGGATCAGTCCCTGGAGAAGGACATCATGCTTGGTAAAGTAGAGGGTCAGCGAAAAAGAGGAAGATCCTCAACAAGATGGATTGACACGGGCTGCAGCAATGGGCTCAAGCGTGGCAACAATTGTAAGAATGGCGCAGGACCGGGCAGTGTTTCGTTCTATTGTACATTCGTTTGCTGTGAGACAGAACGGACTCGACAGCACCTAATAACAACAACAACATTTTTGTTTTATGATAGAATCAATTAGCTGAACTTTTGTCTTTGGAAGATTATGGCAAACTATAAGAGATTTTTTTCCAGCTGTCTGTAGTTTTCCATTTCTTGGAGAAGATGCCTGTTAGAGAGTGTAATGGATTTGGGAGCAGGACTAATAACGAGGGCTGTTGCTCAGCAGGCTTGTGGCGGGTCAGGTTTGTGGAACAAGTTTCCTGTGGTCTTCTGGATTCCTGATGCCTGAGGCACTGAATCCTCTGTTTAGTTTATAGAAAACCTACAAACAAAAGATGGAAGAGACGGCATTTTTTGTGGCCTCTGATTCCTTTAGATGCAGTTAATCTTAACCTCTTCTTGGTGCAAGAATTGAGTCTGGGGGTAGGTGTAGGATAGAACTTTATGAACGTTGATTCGCCCAAAATTTGGATTAAGGGAAACATCCTTTTCAACCATAGGTCACCAACTTCATTATCAAGAGCTGTCTGGACATTTGTTGGCTCAAAATTCTGATGGCAGATAGTCACACGTTTTGTTCATACTTAGTTACAGCAGTTTTAAATATATGAAGTATTGTCTCCAGAACTCATTCGGCTACGTGAAGACGATACATTGAATTTCCTCGCATCCATCCAAGCAGAGAGTGGCCACCGTGGCAGTTTTGAGTCAGTGCTCTTTCTCCTTGGTTTCCATTGTAGAAAAGAGAATGAGTCCAGCTCAGTACTTGCTTATTTAGTGTTGTGCACATGCAGGATGTGCTCTTAAGATCTAAGTTACTTTCTTGTGAATTGTGTTTTTATAACTTACAAAAATTTTAATTTTAAACTTTCAGCAGCTTTTTGGCAAACAAAGCATAAAAGATGATGACCATCCTTTGGGCATGCTTACATTCTAATAAACGAGGGTGGCTGTCTGTGCTGATAAAGAAGTTCCCAGCATTATTAGGAATTTGGAAATATCTTCCCTTTAATATCCTGGCTGCCCGTTTTGCCTCAGTTTATGTCATCCATTTATCCATCCGTCCATCCATCCACTCATTCATTAAACACATGTTTATTGAGAGCATACTGTGGAATAGACAGAGTTCTAGGCATCAGGTGTGCCCAGTGAGCAAAGCAAAAAAATTTCTGCTCTCGGGGAAATTGCATTCTAGTGCTAGAAGACTTTTTCATAAAATTGCACATTTTTTGTAAAGCTCCCATAAAATCTGTTTTCTTTTTTCATTCTTCTCTCTCTCTCTGATTTCTAACAGAACAAGCCTTTGATTAAACAATATAGCTCAGCTTCCAGACTCGGCATTTGAGGCCTCAGATTATGAAAAATAGACATCTTTCTTTTTCAGTTCCAGTATTCTAGTAAGTAAATTTATATTTAAAGAAGGCCATTCATGCTGAATGAATTCATATACATAAAGCTCTTGAAAATCCCCTAAGACATAGCATTATATACATTTATATCCATTAGGCTGTAAGCTCCGTGAGGACACGGTTTCCATCTGTTTTGTTCACTGCTGCATAGGCCTGAACACTGAACGAATGGCTGTATGTTATAGGAGAAGTTGTCTGGAGGAGTGACTTCCTTCATGTAATGGCATTCTGTGAGATGGGAGGGAATGATGTTTGATTCCTTTCTATTGCACTGTGTCTATGCTTGTTGTGCCTGCTATTAGATTGTAAACTCCTGGAGGTCAGGGGACCTGCTTCACTTGTCTGTGTATCTCTCATAATCCTAGTGTGTTGTGTCCTAGTGCTTTATAGCTAGGAAGTGCTCAGTGAGTAATTGTTGAACTACATTTTGTTCTCCTGTTTCTGAGAAGTTCTAAGACAAGTCCAAGAAATTTTGCTACATAACAAACTGCCCCAAAACCTAGTGTTTTAAACAAACTCTTATTATTTCCCTTGGTTTGTGGTCCAGGCTGGCTCGGCAGATTTCTATTGCTCTCACTCATGCCAGGGGGTTGGATGGTCCCGGATAGCCTCACTCACTCAACGGGTGCTTGGCCTGTGCCTCTCGTCCTCCATCAGGTCAGCTCAGGCTCATTTGGCGGTTCAAGGTCCCAAGAACAGCGAAAGAGGACAAGTCGCCATGTGCAAACATTTTTCAAGCCTTCACTTGCATTTCATTTGCTAATGTCCAGTTGGAAAAGGTAATCATGTGGTTAAACCCAGAGTCAGGTGTGAGGGGATTACCCAAAGGTATAGTTACAAGTACAAGGAGAGGAATAATTCTTGCCATTTTTTCAAAAAGATCTACCCCAAGCATCTCTTTCTGTTCTCCTTGCTCCTTTCCCTTCCGAATCAGCCTCAGTGACTTGCAGTATGTGTTACAGCCTCTCCAGAGGAGAGAGTGTTCAAAGGAGAGAGGATTTGGGTCGGGGGATTGTGATAAAGATGATTTGAGAAAGCGGGCATTAGAAGAACTTGTTTGCCTCCTGTGCACTGTTCTGCGAGGAGTTGGTTCTTGGCCTGCTGAACTAACACCTTTGCCTGTGCACTATTCTGGAGCCACCATTTATCATTCTTCTGACCTTGGTCTCATGGACTTTTCTGTTTCTCAGACCCTCACTGTAAGATGCAGATGGTAATAATACAGTGCAGACTAACGCGGATGACTTCATGTGTAGGCTTGAACGAAAGCCACTGTCAACACCCCTGCGTGCAAAGCCCTTTCTTTTTTTTTTAGTGCATTCACACATACTATCTCCACTGACTTGCTCTTGATCTTACAGCAAGAGAAAAAAGATGTGACTGCACTTTATATAGCATGCAGTTGTTAATTTGTCAACTGCTCATTAGACTCTGGCTGTTCATTTCTCTCAAACTGTGTGTGCTCCCTTTTCTAAAGTTCTGCGCTTACAACTTTTTTTTTTTTTTTTTTTAAAAAAGATGAAAGGCAGAGTAATAAACGAAGTTCATTGTTCTCTGAAACTGGGATGTGATAATCAATAGGGGAGATGACTGTCAGCGCTGGAACACTGGAAGTCGACTGAAGAACTTGGTAGGGTCAGAGGCTGAGCTGAGCTATTCACAGACCAGCTTGGATGTTAATAGTGCCAAGCCTACCGTATTTTCCACGGCAGTTTTTATCTTGAAGGAACTGCTCATAAATAAAGGTATTCCGAGTATATGTTGGTTGTTACTTTTGAATAACGTTTCTGGAGCAAAAGGTTCAGAAATAAGTCATATATGTCCTGTTAAATGTTGGTAGCATGCAGTAAATTATTTTAAATGCATAAAGGATTTTCCTTCTGATCTTTGCAGTGAGGCATGTGCGCTGACAGCTCTTGCTGCATATTTATCGTCACAGGGAGGAAGAGATGGCCTGGCCATTTGGAAGTATGCTTTATGTATACCTGAACTCACCAGATGTGCTGCTAAATTGTAGGAACTTGGTTTAGTTGGCAAAGAAGCTTAAAAAGGAGCCGTTTTGTGGTACAGATAAGTTTATTGTTCATGTCACCCAGGAGTATCTCTAACTCATTGTGGATGAATTCTCAGAGTTGTGAGTTTGCAGCGGAGTGGGCTGTGGTGGAATAACAGCGCGTGGGGGCAAGGAGCTGATTCTTGGCCTGCCTGCACTAGTGATTTTTGATTGTGCTTTATTCTGGAGTCATCATTTATCATTCTTCCGACCCTGGTCTTGTGGAGTTTTCTGTTTCTCAGAACGTCGCTGTAAGATGCAGATGATAATAATACAAAATGAAGAGTGAACACATGGGAAACGTTTAGTACACTGGCTAGCACATAGTCGGCTTTGTAAGCATTATAGTAATGTTATCCATTTTTCTTATTAATTTCATTTTCTCTAAATCCATCCTCTTAAATGTAAAATGGAGATGCTGATAACACTTGTCTTCCCAGTTGCACAGAAAAGAAATGATGTATGTGGAAACTTTATAAAGTATATAGTATTATACAAATACCACATGACCTCAATTCCAAACTGGCTTAAATGGTAAAGGGTTTATTAGCTCACAGAACAGTAATGTTCTGGGGCTAGGGTGGGCTTCAGGCTTGGTTTGATCAGGGCTCTAGCTGTGGTACTATTCTTGGTTCTGCCATTTCGGTGTATCAGTTTCATCTTTTGTGGTCTGCTCTCACAATGGCAAAATGAGACCAGCAGGTCCAGCTATATATCTACCCACTACACCATCCAAATGCAAGAAGTCTGGATTTCAGAGTCCTCGGCCAAATTCTGAGCTTTGCACACTGATTGGTGCATTTCTAAACCTATCCCTGGGGCCAGGGAAATACCTTGTGGTGACTGTCTTAGGCCTGTGCTATCTTAAATCAATTGTTTTGATAAGAAAGTGGGTTGCCATGATTGGCTGAGATGAATCAGAGCCCACTTCTGCATCTTGGGTGAGGCCAAGCCCATTCAAGCACAAGCTGCCCTGCACTGGAGGTGGGAGGAGTGGGTGCATCTTGGTGACACCATCCACGTTTTCCGCCACAGACATAGTGCCTGGCCACTTCTCTGTCGTGTAAGATATGTTCCAGGTCAACAGGAGATGCAAATTAGTTGAAACATTCTTTTATTTCTTAAGAGAAAATATTTCAGAGTACTTTCTTTTTCACTCAGAAATCCTATATTCAGCTGGAAGTACACGAAAGGACCAGCTGAATAATCTGTTCTGTGGTGTGAACACACCATTACAGGAGAAACCTCTCTTTTCTGGTGTTAGAATTGAAAGATGGAATATAATGAATTTCATGCACTTACATGAATTTTTCTTTTCTCCTTTATATTGATTTCATGATTTAAAGTGAGCTGTAAATGTGGCTGCATTCTCTTCTCCAGCTTTTCATAGATAATTTTGAATTTGGTGTAATTTTCGGTTGATCCCTATAGCTTGATGTTTTCCACCCCAGCCTACCTAGCAACAGTATTTACTAGTGGCAAGTTGGCATTGCCCTCCATCTGTCAGGCAACAGCAGGTGTTGGTAGATTACTTTTCCGTCCCATCCTGGTTGATTCTGCCTTTGCATTATTTAAGGTTGACAGCAGTTTCTCCTAACTCCAGGCAGCAGAGCTTCCAATCTCTTAGCAGAAGTGATGGTTTTAAGAAGTATGCGTTTGCAAAACAGTATAATTAGCAAGTGGGCATCTACTGAGAAAGAAATATGGGCCTAAGTTACATGTGGATATTTATTACCAGGAAATTCTGTTACTTGCAGGGGGCGGGGTGGCTATAAATTTCTAGCATATATTACTTTATAGTGCCAGCTTTCTCAGCTAAAAACAGGCTTACTGAGCAAGTTGTTTCTGTCATGTAGATGAGAGGACTTAGCTCCAAATAGCTCTGATTTTTTCTTGAAAGAATCTAACAACACAGACATTACTGAGGATGGTTTTTCTCTCTAGAGCCAGTGCACCATGTGTTAATGCATTTAAGCATTTATTGCCGTTGCCATTAAAGTAAAAATTATATTATACTGGCAATCCTAGCAGATTTGACTGAATCAAGCATCAGAGCTTGCTGTTGGTAAGTCCAGTTTTGCATCCAAAACAAATATTAATTCCTCTCCATGTTATGTTGTTGTTAAGTGCCATCAGGTTGGTTCCAGCTCGTAGCGACCCTGTAGGACAGTAGAACTACCCATAGGGTTTCCAAGGAGGGGCTGGTGGATTGGAACTGCTGACCTTTTGGTTCACAGCCCAGCACTTAACCACTATGCCACCAGGGTCCTTATCATAGGAAGCTGATTTTCCCTGCAGAAGTGGCTTCTACTCAGAATCACTTGGGGACCTATTTTTAAAAGAGTTTCCTAGGTCCTCATGCAGACTCTCGGGAGGAGAATTGTTGGGAGTGGTAGTCTGAAATCTCTATTTTTAAACAAGCGCCCTGAGCCTCACAAGAGTTTGCGAACCACTGCCGTTAAGCATGTGGAAGATTGCCTCTTAAGCCCATCTCTGCATTTGTTGTAGGTGCATAGAATAAAATGACACGGTGACTTCCTGCAATGTCCCCAAATTGTATACTCATGCGAGTATTTGGAAGCATCGGATAATGTCATTTGAAATAAATTTCAGCCGAACAGATTCATTTTTTAATTAAATGGGCTGATTTGTTCACAGGACCTTTATAAAAAAGAAAAAAAAAGTTTATAATTGTTTTAGATGAGGTTTAATGTGCATAAAGTATGCAAATCTGAAGTGTACACTCATGAATTTTTACGTATATGTACATCCACAGAACCCATATCCAGATCAAAATATGGAACATTTCCTGTCCCCTTGTCCACCATGCTAACGTCTATTAATGCAGATCTTGAGCTTCATACAAATGAAATTATGCAGTATGTCTTGTTTGTACGTCTTGCCTGTTGGTGCAGGTCGTTCGTGATTGGCAGCTAACCTAAAGGTTGGCAGATTGAACCTACCCAGCAATGCTGTGGGCCTGATGATCTGGTTCTGTAAAAATTACAGCCAACAAAACTCTGTAGAGCAGTTCCATTCTGAAACACATGTGGTGGCCATGCGTTGGAATCAGTGCCACGGTAGTGGGTTTGCTTTTGGTTTTCTTTTGTGAAGTGTGTGGTTTGTTCTTCTTTATTGCTGTATGGTATTGCAACATGTGATTATGGTGCACTCATTTTATCCATTCTCCTGTTGCTTATCTCTGTTGGGTTATTATCTCCAGTTTTTGGTTATTATGAGGAGTGCTTCTGTGAACATTGTTGAACCTGTATTGTTGGGTATATGTGTACACAGGGCTTCTTGCTCTCTCTTCCTGATGCGGCTTTGGCCCTGGACCGTATTTCTCCAGTACATGTCCGCCTAGTCTTTATGACCAATCGTAGTATCTCTGATCCAAACAAGCCCCAGCCCCTGTGCAGCTGTTTCCCAGCAAGGGCTGGGGCAGAGGAACAGGGCAAGACCCCATGCCTCAGTGGATCCTACCTGGGCCCAGCAGGAGCAAAACTGCAATCACAAACAGAATACATTTGCCTTCGTTCTGTGTAGGTTCCTGATGTGAGTTTATTTTCTCTTTTCACTTGGGTCTAATCTAATTGGGTGACTGACACAAATTTATTCTGATTTCTTTTGATTCTTATAATGGCAGTTCCAAAAGTTTTCAATGAGTTTATTATATACTTCTTGTTTTTTTTTGAAGTTCTCTTTTTTCATAGTTAGATATTAATAATTTATGTCCTATAAAACTGTTATGTCTGATTTGCCTTTGCTAGACTGAAATCCAGAAGGTAGAGATATGTTTTAATGGTTTTTGAACCTCCAAAATTGCCTTGCATGCAGCAATTAATGTTGATAGTATAATAGCGATAATAGTAGTAGGTAATATTTATTACACTCTTCCTATTCCCCCCCGCAGCCATTGTTCTGTAAGTCAGCACTGTCTAATGTAGTCCAAGCCACATAGGCAATTTAAAATTTTCTGATAGCCACATTAAAAAAGTAAAAGGAGTAGCTGAAATGAATTTTAATAATACATTATATTTAACCTATCATTTCAACATATAATAATATAAAAATTATTAGAGATATTTTGTAGTTTTTTTTAATAATAAGTGTTTGAAAATGTATGAATTTTACATTTACAGTACATCTCAATTCATATGCTAAATTTGCACAGATACTTGATCTGTATTTTTATTTCATAAAATTTACAGTTGAAAAAGTAGATTACTATACCAAATATGTTCCAAACATACTTAGTTTTTCAGTAGTTTGAGTATCAGTTTTTAAATTTAAACCAGTAAATTAAATAATATTAAAAAATCAGTTTTCCATTGCACTAGCCGTATTTCAAGTGCTCAGTAGCCACATATGCACAGTGCAATTCCATGTCATATATATTAACTTGTTTATTTCGTTCAGTAGCCTTATGAGGGTGGTATTATTATTTTTTCCATTTTTGCATTTTGTAGATAAGGAAACTGAGGCCCAGAGGGCACAGGGTTAAGGAAGGTGTAGGGGAGGTGAGAATTTGACTTTGTCTTGAGATCTGGGTTGTGACTCCCACTATGCTAATTCTTATTGTTTGAAACTGACCTCTCGTTAATTGCTGTATCATTTCTACTTTTTTCCATGTTCAAATGCATTGGGTTTGTTTTGTCTTTCTCTGACTCTTGCCTTTTTTGTGCTTTTTCATGTAGTGACTGATACGAAAAGGTAGTCTTCAGAAGTGATCCTGTATTTGCAGTGAATTTTTTGTTCATCAGTGTTTTAAAAACCAAAATAGATAATGACCACTGCTTGAGCCCCATCTGCTCTGTTATCTCCGTAAATGTCGAGACAAGATTTGCTTTCCCTGAAATGGCTCTCGCTTCCTTTTGTGTTTTGTAATTCTCTCTTTAATAATAAGCGATTTTCCCACCAAGGTTGCATTGCCTTGACTTGCTTCTGGTCTTTTTCTTAAGCAAAGAGTCATGGTTATTTCCCTGGGTATCATGTATTTTAAATGTGTATTAGCATTTGTTCTTATATTAATGATTTCTCTGTGCATCTTCAGATTTAAAAAAAAAAAAAAATCCAGCCAGCCATGTGTTCTTTTCTACCTTTATGGATAATATTTTATTTCATATGAGGCTTGTTTTTATGTAATTGTTGTATTGCCCTTTACTACAGTGATGGTTGTTTATAAAAGAGAGATCTAAAACGTGCTCTTCGGCAAGGAAAAATGGTCCAGACGTGCAAAGGATTATTATTTTGAGTGCTGCGTATGAAGAAAAGGAATGTAGAGGCATAGTGATAGTTTTCCGTATTTCATCTGCACTGTGTCGTGCCCTAAATTTCTCTAAGATTGCGTTCCCTTTCCTTCTCTTTCTGATCCTCTTCTTCTCTCTATGGTGTTGTATGCATCTCATCACCTTTTAATTGCTTATCTCATTTCAAGTGTCTTGAAATAATTAGCCCTGGCCTTGCTTGAGTTCTGATACATTCTGGGTGGTCATGTAATTCATTCTTTTGAAATGTCTTGACTGTTTTATAATTATTTAAGTGTAATTAACTGCGGTGATCTGGCTTTCACACTTCACCGTATCACTAACTAGTTGTGTGACAAGGTATACCCTCTCTCGCTTGGTCTCTGTTTTCAGTCATGAATGGAGAGGGCTGATATAGGTGAGCTGTAAGGATTCCTTATATCTGAGAAGGACTTGGGTGCTTCCTTAGGAGACTACATGGAATTGTCCCTGTTGGTCCTTGTCTTGGGTATGGGACCCCGCCACCTTTTTCTGTCTTCCGGGGTCTGTCATCATTAGAGCAGGTGTTTTTGTCCCTTGCTCCTGGGCCTTTGTTTTGGACCACTCTTCCTTTTTAAATGTGCCCTCTGAACCTTGTCTCACTTTGGCCATTAAGGTATTTCATACATACAGAAGATTACATAAATTGCATGTATAAAATCCTAATGGATTTTCACAAACTGAACACACCCATATATTCAGAACCCAGGTGAAAAAACAGAACATTACCAGGACCTCTGAAGTCTGCCCCTGCTATCCCTCCACGAGTTACCACTCCTCCCTCCAAGGGACATGTCTAGCCTGATGTTGAAAAGCATAGCTTTGCTTTTCCTGTTTTTGAACTTTATATACATGGAATCACACAGAATGTATTTCTTTGTAACTGGATTCATTTTTCCAACACTATGTTGGTGAGCTCCGTCTATGTTTTTGCACGTGGTTGTATTTATTCTCATTGTTGCATATTATTCCATAATGTGAATATGTCACCATTTATTTATTCATTCCACTCGTTGAGTTATTTTCCAAAGTGGTTGTACCATTTCACACCCTCACCTACCATGTATGAGAGGCCCAGTTCCCTGTCCTCAGCGATATTTGCTATTTTTTAAAATACTTTTTTATTTCAGCCATTCTGGTGGGTATCTGATGGTATCACATTGCAGTTCTATTTTGACTTTCCTGATGGAATGAAGGAAAAAAACCTTCCATTATTTTTAATTAGCATCATTTTCCGTATGACTTCGCTTCAGGCCTTGTCATCAAATATGCTGTCCCTAGGATATGTTGCACATCCTCGGTCACTGGGCTCGCCTCCAGCCCTCTCCAGCTCCCTTAACTGTTTATGCATTAACTGGCCACCCAGCCATCTCAGAGAGCTGTTACTCACTTAGTCACCGGCTTTTGACAAATGCTCAAGGAGGGCTTCTGAGGTACCCAGGGCTTACCAGTGCAGTGATGGGGAGTCATTCCAAATGTGGCGGGTATTTGGGTTCAACTTACCTCATTTCCTCTCTTTCTTCTTCGTTGAATTTACTGGACTACATATTCTGCTGGTCCCCTACCCCCTTTTCTCTCTTTTTAGCTGTTGACTCCAAGCTATTGCGCTTTTTTTTTAAAGCCAGGTTGGGGTTCTTTCTGCAAGGTGAGGAGATAGTAATCATAATTACAGTGGAAAACTTCATGCACGTTTTAAATTACTTAGAGCTCTTTATTCACCTGAGAAAACCTTTTCAATAAACATTCTCTGTAACCTAGACAATGACATAAACTTATTCTGGTGACAAAACCTCACTTAACCAGAATATTTATGAATACCTTTGTTTAGCAATAAAACCCATTTATATTAAATGATTTCTGAAGATCTTTATTAAAAGACTTTCAACAGCACTTACTGGTTTAGAAGGTGCAGGGTCACAGTGGATGCAATTTAATGTGTCTTGATCCACGTCGGGAGTCTTAAAGAGCTCTTTGTATACTTCAAACTGATTTCAATCATATCTCCTTTGTTGCCTGAGTAATAACTTGTCTTAGTTTTTTCTTCCTCAAAGTGCTGTGTCATTGTGTGTTTTTAAAATGATTTCAAAAAATGCTCTAAGACAACTTAGAGAGATAATCTTGTTCATAGAACATAGAATGTTGGTAGGACAAAGGGCCCAAGAGAGTATCTACGCTTATCTCTTCCTTGCCTTGCCTCCCTCCTCTGCCCTTTTTTTAAACAAATGAAGAAATTGAAGCCAGAGAAATTAAACAACATGGTCTAGAAGTTCTAGAGGTAGAACCAGGGCTAGGATAACTGTTCGCTCACTCATAATCCAGTGCTCTTTAATTATACCTTGCTTTTCTTTTAAAATAGTATTCTGTTACCTGGCTTCTTAGCACCACAATGAGCTTTCACTTTGATGAGGAGAATATGGCTGCCTGCGTCTTCAGAATATGTATGTCCATACTTCTATGTGAAAATTGCAGGCAAGTTTTAACCTGTGGTCTACCTAAATCAGCAAACCATTCTATAATGCGCTTCATCTGCATTTAAATTATTCTCCTTCAGACAATTCTGAAAGTTGGTTTTAAATAAATGTCTTGTATTTTTTATTGTATTAAGCCAGAGTGCCTTTTGGTTAAATTTAATAGGAAGTTTTTTAATGTGTGCAGAATCTCCTAATATTCAAGTCTGCTATTAGGACATAAATATATATTTGCATTTGAAACAAACAAAAAATTGGAGAACAAAGTAACTTCTTCACCTCAACCAAACAGATGCATTTTCTTAATTATTTGGTTAAGCTTATGAGATATTTTTAATTTTGGATTAGAAGACAGTTGGCAATTGGAAATTCTTATTGTGGAAAACACCATTTATTAAGGGCTATACAATTCCTGTTTTATCATATGCATTTAATAGGTAATAATTGGAACAAATCCTGGAATAAATGTTGTGCCCTAGGCTGCGTTTTAGTTTCTGAGCACTAGATGTCGCTGCAGATAGGAAAAACACACCCTATAACTATTTTTAATTCCAGGATCCTTTGTGGTGAAGTTATTTGAAAGGACATGACAGGTATTGGTAAGTGGACATGGGTCTAGGTCCTGATTCCTGGATGCTGAATCTATGTAAGATATAAATTGTGAACATTTTAGTATAAATGATTTTTCAGATGGAGTATCTTCTTGCAGCCAAGTTGAGAATTGTTACAGAAGGATGTAAGACATTTCCATGTTTCTGGAGATTCTTTACTTACTATTTTTTTATAGTTTTTCTGAAGTTGTTTCAAGAGCAGAATATCTGGACTATACCTTACAGCTAAAAGGTTTTTCTTAATCTGGGTCTTAGGTGGTCATTTTGATTAGTTTGCCACTAGAAAGCTCACTTTAGCATTGTTATGGATTGAACTGTGTTCCCTAAAAATATGTGTTAAATTTCTGGCCCTTGTGCCTGTAGATGTGATCCTCTTTGGAAATAGGGTTTTTCTTTTGTTAGTTAATGAGATACCAGTGTAGGGTGGATCTTAAACCTTATCACTTCTGAGTTATAAAAAGACCGGAATAGACACAGAGACACACACACAGGGGAAGACTGACACCAAATGAGAGTTGTCTTCATGCCAAGGAACAGGGAATGTGGGGGGATACCGGTAAGGAAGGAGTTAACAGGGCCAAGACCCTAATACAGACTTTCACCCTCTGGAACTGTGAGAAAATAAATTTGTTTTTTAAAGCCAACCATTTGTGCAGTTTCTATTAAAAACAAGAGCACTAGATAACTAAGACAGACATTTACTTATATTTGCCCCTTAAAAAACTGTCCTTGTAATGTCATTTCTTTTTTTACCTTGAGTTTTCCTCATCTTTAAGTCTTTAAAAAATTACAGTGTAATTCCTTGTTTCCTGTTTCTGTCACGATTCATTGTACGTTTGACAACGTCTGTTCCAGCAAAGTAGCCTCGACTATCGACGTCGTACATGCAGAGGCCTCTCTCTTGGTTTCTGCTGGTTTGTGGAGCCAAGAACTATCACAGAGATTCAGACTGAATTACCTCCCAGCTCGTTCCTCATTTTATATAGAAATAAGAAAAAGAAAGTACTGCCACAGTTAATAACTGAGAGGTGGCAGAGAGTGACAGGTAGGAGCATGAGCTCTGGAATCCAGTGGCATAGAGTTCAATCTCACCTCTGCCAGTTGCTAGCTATGTGACTTGGGCAAGTTTTTAAACCTTTCTGTGCCTCAGTTTCCTTATCTGTGAAATGAGGATAATCATACCTCTCTCACTGGGTCGTTCTGAGAATTCAGTGAGTTACTTGTAGAAGCACTGAAAGCAGGGCCTGCCACATAATGCTCTTATGTAAGTGCTTCTTAAATAAATACCTTTAGTTTCAGGCAGTTTATGGGCATTTTTTTCCAAAGGTGTATAGTTAAATATTTATTGATATTATTTATTTCTTTAAATGGCTTTGAGTTACTGTCTATGCCCTTAATTGCAGGGTAAGACTATTGGCAGTAAACTCCTGCTGTTGTTATTATCTGGGAATATCTTAATTTTGCTGTCATTTTTGTAGGACTGTTTTCTTGGATGTACAATTCTTGGTTGACTTTTTTTCCTCCCCTTTCAGCACCTTAAATATGTTATCTCACTGCCTTCTGGTCATCCTGGTTTTTTTCTTTTTAATTGTGGTGAAAATATACTCAACAAAAATATGCCAGTTCAGCAATTTCTACATGTACAATTAAGTGACATTGCTTATATTTCTCAAGTTATGCAACTATTCTCTCTATCCTTTTCCAAATTATGCTATTACCATTAACACAAACTCAGTGCCCCCTAAGCACAAACTTTCCTTCCCTCCTCCCTCCCACCCTATAACCACTAATAATCTTTGGTTTCTATATTATTTGCTTATTCTATATTAGTGAGATCATGCAGTATTTGTTTTGTTGTGACTGCCTTATTTTGCTCGGTGTACTGTTTTTAGAGTTCATCCATGTTGTGGCTATGAGCACTTTTATAAATGCTAAATAATAATAAAGAATATTCAGTTAGGGAGGGAAGAGGATGAGAAATCATTAGGATCATTTTTTTTTTTTTCTTACAAAAGAATTAAAGACAAACTGTGGTGACCATATTGTCACTTTATCCATTTAGCATTTGTTTGGCATCAAGACAAACTATGGTGACCATGTTGTTGCCTCATTCATCCATTTAACATTTATTTAGCATCTGCTTGGTGTGACATGTAGTGTGAACATGAATAAGACACTTTGTCTAGATGGGGAACCAAACTTGTAAACAAATAAATGAAATAAATTGTTATAGGTGTGACATAAATAGTAACAAAGAGTTAACTGCAGTGCATTGGAGCAACTTGAGAAAATGTATCTTAAGCCAATTAAGGTTGTCTGTTTTTCCTCACTGAATGAGAACTGCAAGGACAAGCTGCTGGTGGCATGGGTTTAGTGGCTCACTGCTGGCCGAATCGAGGTCTGTGTAATTCCTTCATGATTTCTGCAGCCAAATCATCACATCTGAGACTTAGAGGAAATGAGGAAAGTTAAAGGCTGTAGATTAGCTGAGTTTACCCATCTTTTAAGCCCTGCTGAATAACTGTGGTTTATATCTCATTGCAGAGCTGTGCCACGTGGCCCCTTCTAAGTTGGTTTCTTCAGCTGGGCACATTGCCAACCCCTAACAAAATTGGGTTTCTGTTTGTAAGTGTGGTGAAATGAGTTCCTTTATGTGGCCTTTTGCCTGGTTATTTGTAAAAACAGTTTGAGAGATTTTCCCCTCTAAGCCCTAAAGAGTTACCTTTGCCCTAGTTTTCTACCCCAGCGTTTGTTACTTTTGTCCAGGTTGATTGACATTTCCTGGGTAAGCTGTAAACAACTTGTGGTTTGATACTTTTCGTGTGGTCCTGGGCGGAAGCCTGCTCGGTGATTGGTATGCACCTTGCAGGGATTGGTCAAGAGACTATGCAAATGAAGTGCCTGTAGCCTGTTATGCAAATGAGGTATCTGTGGCCTATCGAGAGGGGTTTGATCAGTCTGTGGCCCTGGTGGGAAGGCCATACCTTGAAATTGACAAGGAGTTGTGTGTATATGTAGCCAACCTGACAGAGGTTTTTCAGACAGAAGGAAAAAGAGAAGCAGCAGGAAGAGGCAGTTGGAAGAAAAGAGAGAAGAGAGAAGAAGCAGAGAGGGAGGGAGACAGAGGAGGCCAGGAATCTCCTAAAAGAGCTGTAGTGCAGGTCAAGGGCTGTAACACTGCAGACAGAGGTACAGAAGGGACCCAGTGTCAAAGCCCGCTGTGACAGGCCCGGAAGGGGCCCTGCGGTAGAGTTGGTGGTGGCAGATGGCAGGGCCAAGACGAGCCTGTCCTTAAGGTGCCGAAAGGAGCCTCTTCCCTGGGGGCCGAGAGGAAGGCTGTCCTCAGGGAGCTGAGAGGAGACCTGCACGGCCAAGAGGAACTGAGAGAGCTGTCCTGCACTGAAGAAGGGAGACTTTTCCTACATGCTTCCTGATCCTGATCCCAAACTGTGTCTTGTTGCTTCCTTAATAAACCACTTAACTGTGAGTGTGGTCTCTGAGTTCTGTGTGGCCATTGCAGTGGATTATTGAACCCAGAAGAGAAGTAGAGAGTGCCATGGGAGGGACAGCTGGTGTCAGAATTGGTAAAAAGGTTGGAGAGTGGAGGTACGTCTGACCTCTGCCTCATGGGAATCAGCCTTTGGCTGATCCTGATTGTCATTATCCCCCCTGAAATTAGACAGGTTCTGATGCTACTACTATCACCATTTTACAGTAAGAAAGAAAGGGAAAACAGAAGGCTGTCTTGGCCACAAGCACTTGCTGTGCGCCAGGCACTGTTCTAAGCACTTTGCATGTACTAATTTCCTGGAATCTCATAACAACCCTACAGTGTAGACACTCTTTCTGTTATAAATAATTGCACCAGAGTGAATAAGAAATTCGTTACTAGTAAGTGACAAGACTGGCTAGTGGTGGAGACACAAAGGAAGCCTTGGTCAACACGTCAGGTCTACTGGGAGAGGTGGTAGTGGTGATGTCAAGAAGGTTTGGAGAAGAGTTGATCTTGAGGCTACCCATAAAACGAAGTTGGTGTTGGCAGTCTTGGGTTGGGTGAGAAAAGCTTTCTAATGGCCTGAGCTTAGAAGAATCTATCACCCTGGGTAATTGGGACTCTCAGAGAAATTGAGGAAGCTTGGAGGATGGGGGTGGGAGGATGGAGGAGGGAAAGCATGGGTCGGATCATGGAGGGCCTTACTTTCCTCTTTAAAACTCTTACTGCTTCATTATTGCCTCAGAAGAAACACTCTGAGCTAATTTAAATTCTGGACGTCTATTCCGAAGACGTTTTTGCAGTTTAGTTTCTTAGCTATCAGTGTATCTTTCGAGGTATCTAAGTAGTGTATTGAAATTTCTTATTCTTTTTCCCCCACTTCACATTGAATTAATGTCAGAATATTCATAATGGATAGAGCCTTCAAGCTGATCTTATCCAACCTTTTCATGTCATAGTAGGGAGAATCAGAGGCTTGCACAGGGTATATTCCTTGTTTGAGTGATCTTTGGGATTACATAGGGAGTTAGTGTCAGAGTTGAGGTCAGAACAGAATTTTATGATTCCTATGTCTGGCATCCTTTCCACAATCCCAGCATTTCCCAAAGTATGTTCTCTAGATTCCTTATATCTCTTTCAGTGCATACGGATATTTATTTAATAATCTTTAATTGTTGGTAGGTGCCATTGAGTTGGTTCCGACTCAGCGGCCCTGTGTACAACAGAAGGAAACATTGCCTGGTCCTGTGCCATCCTTGTAATTCTTGCTTTGTTTGAGCCCATTGTTGCAGCTACTGTGTCAGTTCATCTCATCTGTAATTATGTGTTTAATATGTGTTTTCCCTGAAATTCTAATTCCCATCTGTAGTTCAGCGCTTGACACATAGCAGACACTAAAGAAATGGTTATTGACTGACTCTAGTATAAGAAAGGTTGCTTGAGAGAGAGAGAAAAAAAAAATCCTTCAGATATATTTGGGAAACTGGGTTAAACAAAATTAAGTGGCTTATTCATAGAAAGTTGTGAGAGCCTTTACTATACTACTGTGCTCTGTGGTTCTAAGATGGGTGTAGCGAGAAGGTCTACTTGCCTCAAACTTACTTGTGTTCTGAGGATTCCATTTTGGCTCTAACCCAGTTGCCTTTTTCAGTTTTGGTGTTCAGAGTTCAAGAAAACTTGTAGTCTGAATGGATTCCTTAGAACAAAAGGCCTTTTTATTCTTTTTAGGTTGCCTTTTGGTCTTTTGGAGCCCTGGTGGTGCAGTGGTTAAGTGATATGGCTGCTAACCAAAAGATAGGCAGTTTGAATCCACCGGCTGCTCCTTGGAAACCCTGTGGGGTGGTGCTACTCTGTCCTGTAGGGCCACTATGAGTTGGAATCGACTCCATGGCAATGGGTTTGGGTTTTTTTTGTGTGTGTGTGCTTTTGGTCTTTTAGTATTAAAATGGTGAACAGTTTTCTGTTAAAAAAAACTTTTGTCTTAGAAGACAGTTATATTTAGAAAAACAATTGATGTGTTTAATTTCTCAGAACCTGGATATTGTTTTTTTTCTCATCAATCATTGGTATTCACTGTGATTGATCCTAAGGTTGGCACACCAAAGTCTGTTTAACCCAGGGCAATGGTGTGACTTAAGCAGCACTGGAGCACTGGTGGCTCAGTGGGTAAGAGCTATGGCTTCTAACCAAAGAGGTTGGCAGTTCAAATCCATCAGCTGGTCCTTGGAAACCCTGTGGGGCAGTTCTACTCTGTCCTATAGGTTCACTATGAGTCGGAATTGACTAGATGGTAATTGACATGGTAACAGCATATAGAATAGGTTGATAAGGGCAGAATGCAGAGTCAGTGGGCTGGTGATCAGTGAGCCCAGAGATCCGATCTTGATCCACAGAGTGGCAAGAGCAAACACCATCATGGGAAAGTTGGTCATACTGTGGTATCAGTGACAGTGATGCAATTCAGGAAATGTTTCTCCAGAGTGTGGGAAGTCTCTACATTCCTGAGATTGGTTTAGGCCCTTTACCTTTGTACCAGTGAAGTTAAGATCTTTTTGTTCATGTACAATTGGGGATGAGTTATCCCTCCAGCTCCCACTCACTACAGTGTAGTGGTTTAGAGTTTCCTCTCTGGAGCCAGTGCATTCGGGCTTAAAGCCCGGCTCTACCTCTTGTGACCTTGGTCAGATCAGTTAATCTTGATAAACCCCATTTTCGTCCTCCTTAGAGTGGGAATAATAATTGTTCCACCTCCTTGAATAATCTATGTAAAGAGATCATCTATACAAAGTGCATACCTAGCACAGTACCTAGAAATGGTGTTGGCAAACTTTTTCTGTAAAGGACCAGATAGTAAATATTCTAGGTTCTGTGGGTCATAGGATCTGTGTCGTGACTACTGAAATCTGTCGTCGTAGCAGAGAGCAGACACGGATTGTAGCAGGAAAGCAGACACGGAGTATATATAGGCAAATGGACGTAGCTGTGTCCTGATAAAACTTTATTTATAAAAACAGGCAGAGGGCTAGGTTTGGCACTCAGGCCATTCGTTTGCTGACCCCTGGCGTGGAAAAATAAAATTTGCTCAATAAATGATAGTGGCTGTGGTTGTTGTAATATCTTTTTCTCACCTGAGTTCATGTTAATGTTAGGCAAGGCAAGGAATTTTTGAATGTTGCATTCATATCTGTTTAGATGTTTTGAGCTGTATGCAAGTTAGCAGCTAGGCAAAATAATGTTATTACTTTCAGAGTTCGTATAATCACAGATGTTAAGAAGATATAATTAACAAAAATCGTAATGAAAATGAGTAAGAATTCATTTAGAACATTTACAAGTGCCATAGATAGTAAATTAGGTGTACTTTCCTCTCCTGTGGTGACTTTAATATGTGTAATAATCACTTTGGGTGATATGACTTCAGTGGCTGGATTAAAAGAGTTCCCGACTTGCTTGTGGACAGTTCTGCGATTAATTTTTTTTGTCATCATATTTTTATTAAGGTATTTATGAGTAAATATTATTTGTTGAGGTATATCATTATTCAAAAATTAGTCCTTTCTCTAACGTAAGTGTATGAGCTATGTGCGATTAAATTTGTGAAATGGATTTCTGAGTAAGGTCTGTAAGGAATACTGAGGAACATTTCACCCTGAGGCAGGGGTTTAAATTCTTGTGCCAGTATAAAAATGTTAGGGGTTTGTGCTCTTTACACTACCTGGGCATGGTCATTGTGTAGTTGAGGCATAGCTGTGCCGTAG